ATGTTGAATGATCTTACAGCAGAATGCATTGACTGTGTAAGTAAAGGTAGAATCTTTGGTTAGCTTGCTTGCTAGCTGAACGTGAAGTCATTATTAGGTTAGGTATACTACCCTCCTTTCAGAGTAGTCTAGTCCTACAGACAGATAGATTGGTCATCTGTCGGACTAGTCTACCCTTAAAGGTACATAATAATGACTTCCCGGTTTAGCTAGCAAGCAAGCTAACCAAAGATATTACCTTTACCTACACATTCAATGCATTCTGCTGTAAGGCTATTTTTGTTCAAGTATTCATCACTAAGCTTACATGTGATTTAAAGCTTGATATTTGGTACTGGCACTTATGTATTATGTCTGCACCTTGTGTTGTGTTGTGTTTTGAACATGTTTGTGTTTTTGTTTTGTAGATGTCTCATTGATGTTCACTCAACACCTCCTTTTCATGCAAAAAAGCTTACTTTGAAATTTAAATATTTTTTTCAGTCACTACGGATGCCACATGTGGAACATTATTTGCTTACCCTTTTGGGGCACATAAGATCAACCCTGGTCTTTGGTGGAGTTTGTATTACTCATTCTTCAGTTTTCTAATTTAGTTAAATTTTGCCATGGTGTTGTTAGTTTTGTTAGACATGATGTTTTAAGTCCCTTTGCCTCTTTTTTTGTCATTCCAGACTTACTAGGTTTCATTCACATAAGAATAATTGTATTTAAACTACAATTGTAGTTAAAGATATGCAGATCAACTACTCTGAGTGTAGATTATAATGACAAATGTCAATTTGTTCATTTGTTGGTGTTTTAAGATTGGTTATGCAAATTACACGTGATTATGTCACTAATATTCTTAAAAAATAAACAATGAATACCTCTGACTGATCTAACCAGGGTAACAAAGCTAGTTTTAACAATTTTATGGCCGATCTGAGGTTAATTCTGTTTAATCAATTAACCATTTGTCTAAACTTAGTATAAATTAGAACTTGACTTGGGTCTACTATTGCTGAAGACTACACATTTGACCTCCAGTTGTCTTTGCATTCCTTTGAAATCTGATAATTTTTTGCGGACTTGACACGATAGATGCTACATGTGGGCATTCCGTGTAATATTGTTGCTAGTATACATAGAAAACAACCAAGGAGTATCTATGAACAATCGAGCCAGGGTTATCAAGCTATTTAAACCATTTTCAATCCAGATGTCAAGCACAAATCTAATACATGTATAATTTAACATTTTATTAGTGAGCTGTCATTCACATTTTCATATAACTTTTACACGTTTCTCATTCTCATATCTACTAGAAAGGTATCAAAAGAGGTTACATCACCTACTAAATATAGCCTATAATGCTGTTATAGAGTATTGATCAAATGCTGTCAATACAGGAAGTTGTCAATGTTGTAAAATAAAGTGAATGCAATGATTATACCCTGTGCTGTTTGAAATATTACATAAGTTGAAAAAATAATTAATCTGTCAGTAATTACATATATTTAATTTTAATTTCATACATTTGTACATCTGTATTTCCTTTGATGAAAATGAAAAACTTGTTCGTCCTGAAAGATGTTATATAATATGACTTCATCTGACACTTCTGTGCTTTTACAATGATATTTTTTTCTGTGAAGTAATCATTAGACTTTTCACTTATACATTTGGTACCGTAACGAAAAAGGAGAATGTACGAAAAAGCCACTTTTTTTTGGCCCCTTAATTTCTTTTTGGGTAAAGCTGTTGTTCATATATTTTTTTACATAAAAACATACGTGAAATGGGCCATTTGAGTCAAAATAAGTTCATTACAACATAATCATGGTGTCATTGGTTTTATTAACCTGTTCAATTACAAATAATTGAACATAATTTGAAGGCTTGGAATAAGTTTACCGGAATTAATTTTGCAATTTCAGGGGCAAAAATAATGGCTCTAATCATATCTCCTCAATAATGAATTTTCAGGTATTTGGAAATATCAATTTCTAGAGTAACTCTAAAAATCTTACCAATCTGTTAAAAGAATTTTCAATGTGATTTATGTAAACTTCTTTGATTTAAATGAAATTTTTCTATGAAAAGCACCAATGTACATTTTATTACACCGGAGAAATATTTTTTTTTTTACAAAGAAAACAGCACATTTTATTTCTAAAACATCGATGAGGTTACTGAGAGAAACGGACAAGTTATAAAATGTAAAACATTCACATAAAATAATCAGGACATATATACACAGCTGAATCCTGCAGCACATACATACAATAATAAATATGATTCAAGTATCAAACTTTGCTTGGTAAATGGTGCTTTCAAAAACATGTATTAAAACAAACATGTAAATAAGGACAAAATTCTCAGTTATTTAGGCAAAATCTACAGTCATTTAGTGTTTTTTTTTTTTTAATTGTTCTACAATTATACACAGTTCTATCGTTAGAAAAAATAACTCAAAATTGTTATGTGAAGTTTATGACAATATAAAAGGATTTTTATCATGTTAATTATGATAATGAGTAAAAACATGGAAGCGACAGATGAAGCAATTAAAAAATATTTCTCCTAACACAAATAAAAGAAGAGATCAATTATTATATTAAAAGTTGATTTACATCCACACCATTTACCATGCAAAAAGACAATTCTTGTACAAGTCAAATTTTATAGCTATATATATATATATTGTAAGAAATTCATATGACAAACATCAATAGTAACCTTTGTACGAACATTCATTTTATATTTTGAGTAACAAAAATTTCTTTCATTCATTGTCAAAAACAATTTGATATTGGTAACATTTTTCAATGCAAAATTGGGCTTATGCAAAAAAAGGAAAATCATTAAACTCCCACCCCCACCCTAAAAAATCACATTAAGAAATTTTGTGTACAAGCTATGAAATCCAAATTCTTTACAGTACTGCAAAACTAACACATATATGAAATGAAAAAAGGATCACTATATGTATGTAAACTTACAGGTAATATGTTATTTGTTAAAAAAAAAATGAACCAAATCCTTCCTCATTAAGCTTCAAATTCATTTAAAAAAATCTATTTTTTTTATACTGAAAATGTGAAAGAATGATATTTTAACTAGATAGAATGTACCTTCATTTGCAAAATACCAATGAGCTTTAAATACAGATTCCTATGTCCACTTTACAAAGGAAGATAAGTTAAATAACTATCATAAACTTCTTCTTGACAGCATAAATTTTAGAATGCACATTTTACAAAGCAATACCTTTAAGTTTCTTCTCATTTCATTTTAATGTAGACTTTACAAAATTTTGCACTGACAACATTTATCATGAGCACCTTGATTCCTTCTTCTAAACATACAAGCTGTAAAACTGCATGAAGTTTCTTTGTAAAGATATTCCTTTTGAATGTTAACTGTCATTGATTTTGGATTTACAAACTTTTGTGTCCAGCAGAGTTGAAAAAGCTTTGTGTAAAGCAGGATTGACATAGCTTTGTGTCAAGTAGACAAATTAAACAAAAATAATGCCTCCTTATCTAAAATGTGGTGGAAACATCATCCTGGTATATCACGCCACATTATGAGCAAGTGTTGATCAGCTTAAAAAATGCCCATACTGTAAAAATACCAGTAGTTACTACTATTTGTTGAACAGGAATATTTGGTATTCATTTGATTGGAGATTATCTAAATAAAAAATATTCATACTCAGAAAGCTTTAAAGGTAAATTCTACCTATATTTTTATTGTCATTTTGTTTGACTTCGCCATCTGATTTTCTAAAACTTCAATCGAAAAGAGAGTTGCAAGAAAATATATACATAGTTGAATCTAATAACTTTCAATTTTGTATTTTCAATTTATATTGGCTGGATAAATGAAAGACTGATCCTCCAGCGCTTTGAAGCAGAGATTCATTAATGAGATTCTCTATTAGTTATATTTCAAATCTACCATTTGAACACATTGCTCTAGCACATAACAATAATTAACTGATATTAATACATTTTTGTCACATTCACATTCATACAATACTATTTACTCATTATGTAGTCACAATCCTCATAATTTAATTATTTACAAGAGTACTCTCTACCTATGCTATAATATTGGACTTTTTCACTTGGAATTGCTATTTGAAAAATTTATTAAAATTTATTTATTAAAGTATTAATAATCATAAATCTTTAAAACATGAATATTTTACAGAGGTTGGTAAAGGGTCTAGGGAGGCTTTTTGTTGTTGACTATGTAAGCAACCTTTATTACTTTTTTATTTTGCTGGAAGGCTGTTATTGGCCATGTTTCTGCAAACAGGTAGAAATGCAACTTTCCAGGTTGAAAAATTGATTTCTTTCGTCAAATAACTTTTGTATTTCCAGTTCTCCACTGCAAAGGAGCCCTTTACTACCTTTTATTGAGATACAGAATTACTGTCTTACTTTTTTCAATAAGTTCAATTTTCTTCTTGATCACATTATTTGATGTCTAAGAACCATCTATTCTTAAGTTCACTTCCTGTGATATACCAGGGTAGTTCTCTCAGAAATTTCATTCAATAAAAAATTTATTTTTGTTAGAATAATGTTTATTCTTAATCACAGATTTAATGTTTATTTACAATACATTTGTTAATTTTACTTCCTGGTGGCGTGTAATCCTAGTAAATTCAGCAAACAGAAAAGTTATAATCAAACAAAATATAATCACAATGCTTCATATATGTTTGTTCTTAATGGCTATAATTAAATATCTAGTCATGTGTTATTTATAGTATATTGAAAGCATCGTTTTTTTTTTTTTTGTATGTGGTCAGGCATTATATAAAGCTTAAAAAAAACTTGGTGTTAATATCATTTTAAGAGGTAGAAGATATATCAACTTTATCAAATGGTCTCAAATGATCTATCTGATTAAACCAGACTGTAGAATTTGTAAAGAAGTAAACCCGGTCAAAAACCAAACATCTGTCAAAAATGGCTATATGTAAAAATTGTAACTTCTAAATGAAACCTTTCAGTAGAAAAGGTTAATAATTTGACAGTTATGAATGTCCTTTACTAGATGTATCAAAAATCACAAGTAAAACTGGTGCCACATCTTCATACAAAACAGAACTGCCTATATCTTGAAATAAAGCATCCACCTAACACTTTAGATACCCCCCAAAATATGATAAGGGGCCTACCAGATTTTTCTTGGGATCCAAGATATTGGAAGTTTTACGTAGACAGAAAATAATGCAAGGTCCTAATGTATCATGGTCATGACGGCGTTGTGTTGATTCCGATGTTGTATAATTTAATCCTCTGTGACCTTTACCTTCATAACCTTGAGTGAAGGCACATTGTTACATTATGACCAACCATTCTGCAATGCCCATCTTAGATTGTGGCAGGTAGTACAAATATTTTGCCTGTACAGCATTTCAATGGACGAATTAACTGCAATCATGATCTTCAAGTGACATTCACCAGGGGTTACAATTTAAAAGATTTTGACTTGAACTAATGGCAGATGTATAATTCACACCTTCTGTTCATTATATCTACAAAGGTAGGGTGTGGATACAAAATGGGAGACAGATGATAAATATTATTCATAAATACCACCATAACTTTCTTCTGGTTGATAAATTTAACAACTGAAATCCTGTACTGTAATTATTCTAAAAGATCATTAGTATCCAAATTTATAAAAATATATATCAACTACAAGCATTTTAGTTATTTTTGGTAAACTACTATTGGTGAAGATTTTAAAAGTTTAAGCAACATTTCCAGTTATAAAAGCCAAGAATTTTCATCAAAGTAAGATGAATTAAAGGAAAGTGTATTATGTTTCATAGCAAAATTTGATATATATATATATATATATATATATATATATATATATATATATATATATATATATATATTATCCTTATAAAATAATGCAAGTCTGGCCTAATCAGAACTACAATGCACAATGAAAAATCACTTCAACGCTGGACAAAATAAATCCTTGTATTATAACGGATGCATTATTTACTACATATGAAAACTTGACAAGTCATCAAATGGGTTCATAACAAAGAATATACATACATCTTAAATACTGGCAGATACTCATTCTCACTATAAAAACTTCTCTCATACCAATGATACAATAACTGAGGAGAAATAAAAATCTAACAATTATAACAAAACATATTACTGTGAGCACATTACCTTGCAATGTAAACAAATCTTTTTTTTTTTGACAAAATACTGGCAAGTTTTCTATCTACGAAATTTCCTTATAGGAAGACAACATTTAAATGAACACCAGGTACAAATAATCTTGACTAGCAAGCTGCCATCATAGCTCCTATCACTTGTTAGATACAGGCATTTATTACCCTATGGTCACATGTATAGCAATCTCATTTTAACATACTCTGAGGGGAGCACACTTTATGTTTGGGGATCTGAACATAAGATGTGTTCCTCTCTCCATGTGTATTTAAATGGGAAAGCCATTATATGAAAGTAAATAAACTCCTCGTCTCAACTTTGGTCACAACTCAGTCTTATTAAATAGTGGTCAGAATAAATAAATGCCCTATTCTATAAAGATTATATAATGTGGGGTATAATATATAGTTTTGTTCCAATGCGACCTTGAACTTGGTCAAAAACTTACTCCCATATTTCAGAGTAAAGGAAAAAGAGGGGATGTGGTATCAATTCATTACAAAATCCCTACATGTACTTAGTTGACAAGACCATTATAAAAGATACAGAGCACTTTTATTGCTGTTCTTCATCTCTAATTATCCTTCACATTAAACTACCATAATAAAAACCATGTTTCTGATAGATTCAAAAAAATTAAGTGCTTGAATAAGTTATGTGAATTTGTTATATTAATAAAATTTTCTGCTCATTACCTATAAGGCTTTGACAAACAACTATGAAAAAATGGAAAAAAAAATAATCATGAATGTTACAAGATTTTTCAAGCAAACAAATGTTTTTTGTTGTTTTTTTTTTGCTTTGTCAAAGTTGTTTTAGAATAAAATTAAACATATAACATGCAATTCTTAGTTTCCTATCAGAAGTTTAAATAACTTCACTTTAGTTCAAAGTGTGAAGTCAAACAAGGTTGTCTTAACTTGGATTTTTCTGAACCAGTACAGAAATGGGACTCTTGTTTTAAATCAGGAAGGAAAATTTCCTAGCACTACTGGATTAATTATAATTTACTAAGCCGACATGTTAAAACTCTTTCAACAGAAAGAAAACTCATTCTTATTCTCTTTTCTGCAAAGAAATATACAGGTCTGCTATAATATGCAAATCATTAAGAAACACAAAATATAAATGTATAATATTAAAATATAATCAAATATCAATGTATTTGAAAGTTATGTTAATTTTTATCTTTTAAAATGTGCAGGGGTTCAAATTTTTATAGTGGTCTAAGGCCCTTAGCCCTTCCTCTAAATTCGTACAAGTACTCCTATTTTCAGGAAAAGAAATTTTTAGGACTAAAACAAAAAATATGTACTATTTTATTAATTATAATTTTTTTCTAATTTAAACAACCGTAAAGATCTGGTTGATGATTAGCGTTACAGTATTGTAACCTAATCATTAGGGCCCATGAGAGCTTAAAGAGGAAGAACTAGGTCAAGGGATATGACTAAAACAATAATGGGCACTTTTGTGGTAACCATTTTTTATAAATTTATTCTAAGCTTTTAAGTAACACAGATTTTTTTTCTTCAATTCTGTATCACATGAAGATAAAAAATCCATGATAAGCATAAATAATTTAGAGTTGTATCCCTTTACCAAGGCTTACCTCCCTTAAGTAAAGGATAACATTTAAAACAAAATTTAAATCAAGACATTTGATTGATATCTAGTAAGTACCCTGCATTATCTAGAGAAGGAACCTGAGTTCTTCAGCTGATCAATGACCTTATTATTAAAATAACATCTAGCAAGTGATATTAGACCTTATTATTAAATATCATCTAGCAAGTGACCACTAGACCTTATTATTGAATATCATCTAGCAAGTGACCACTAGACCTCATTATTGAATATCATCTAGCAAGTGACCACTAGACCTCATTATTGAATATCATCTAGCAAGTGACCACTAGACCTCATTATTGAATTAACATCTAGCAAGTGACCACTATTCACATTTTATCACAGGAGCCCTACAATCCTAAATCTCACATATTCTGGAGGTGCATAATCCACCTTCACAGAAAAAAATGATGGCATATATCTCTGTTTGGATAAACACAATAAGATTATATCAAGATCTCTCTTAACAACAAAAATAAAGTAAGGAACTAGCAAAGTTGTTGATTATACTAGGGAATTTATAAAAATCATTCCTCAGAGACGGCTGTCAGGTCTGGAGTTATCTCCCCATAGACAGTTTATCCTCTGTTTATCTCCCTGGACATAATCCTGAGCTTTGATAAATAATATCACTGAGTGTCTTTAACACCAGGTAAAATACCTCTGTCAGTGTCCTTCTGAATTCTGTTAAAATAGAAAAAAAACATTAAAACTGGTTACAATCAATATTAATAAGAAAAAACCAATCAGTAGAAGTCTGTTATCACACAAGGATCAAATTCACAAGTACCAATTTAAGCTAATCTGACTTAGCAATACTCAATTATTCACTAAAAACAGAGAATGCAAATTTATCAAACTTATAAGTAATACAAACCCTGTAAGTAAATCTCAGATTTGTTTTAATTTTTACCTAAGACCACTCAGATGATGCCCCCACTTGCATACAACATTATAAAGGGGCATAACTCGAGAACAGTAAAAGTACAACCTTGATCTGTGTTTCGTGGTAATAAGCATTGTTTATAAGTTTCATAACATTTGGTTGAGGCAAACTAAAGATAGAGAACGGAAACCAATTTTGGGACGTACAGACGAACAAGGGTAACACTTACTGTCCCTTCCAGTGATGGCAGGGGCATAAAAAAACTTAATATATAAAATAATTTATCATTCTAATATTCAAAGTGTTGTAAATCTATATTTTAATAAATAGACCATATGTAGATGATTTAGTCCTGTTTCTATCTTGAGTGTGTGACCCCAACATTTGCCAATCATAAACTGTTGACACTGAGATATGTCTCGCCTGTTGGTGGAAAATTTTAGAAAAAAAAAACAATCTGATTCACAGTAACATTGCTCTTTAATTGAAAGTTACTAGACCATGACCTAGGGGGCAGGGCCTCCAAATAGTTGTCAAACTGATATGTACTGATAGTAATGCAACTTTATAGAAAATATCTTTGATCTATCACAAGCAGTTCCTATCAAACTAACTTAAACGGAAAACTTAACATTGAAAATTGCTTATTAATTCAAAGTCACTGGACCATGACCTATTGGACATGGCCTTGAAATAGCCATCAACTTGATATGAACTGATAGTAATGCAACTTTATAGAAAATATCATTGATCAATTAGTTCCTATTGAACTAACTTAAACAGGCATTAACTATGATTTAGACAAAAAATTTAAGTACGATTCTTTGTGTTTCAAGTATTAATAAAAGCAGAATTTTGAAATAATATTTCATTATAAGCAGTCAGATTGGCCAAAATCTGTCAAAATAAGCTCAAAATCATTGCTGATGTATCATTGACTTATAAATAATTAATTTAACCTCTTTGAATCGGTATTCATGTGACCTTCAATTTAACCCCTTAGCTGGAGATGGATTACACATGTACCAGGCATGTTCAGCTATTGAAAGGAAAAGAATGAAAGTGAAATAAAGATGGACCATTTTGTTGACCGAGTCGACTCAATCCACAAAAAATCATTTTTATACAGGTAAAAACGATGATTAACATATTTCTTTTAACCTATAACATGAAATCAAACAGTCTAAACTAAAATACACACAAAATGCTGATACATATTATCAAGTCCATGCATTGTTAATTGTTTATGTTAGACTTTTAGTAATTTGGATATATGTTGTAGTATGTTATAAATAAAATATAAGATTTTGAGTCAAATCGGTGAACATTAATTTGACAGCTTATGCCCCTTCAAGCAGAAAACTTAACATTGAAATTGCTTATTAATTGAAAGTCACAGGACAATGACATAGGGGGCAGGGCCTCAAAATATTCATCAAATACTGTAAATTCAGAAATTATTGCTTGCATTTATTATTGCGATTTTGTCATTTTAGACTAAAATGCGATTTCAATTTTTGCGATATTGAGAAAAATCCTGTTTAATTGATATAAAAAATTTCAAAATGCGAGTTTAAATTATTGCGATTATAACCCTGTCGCATTTTACGCAATAATAAAAACATCGCAATAATTTCTGAATTTACAGTATAGAAAATATCATTGATCTATCACAAGCAGTTCCTATCAAACTGACTTAAGCAGAAAACTTCACAATTGTTAACGCCAATAGAAAAGCAACACCTATGTCTCACGAAAAAAAAAATGGCTACAGTTATGATAAGATACAGAATATTGTACCACTAAATGCTAGTCAGTCTTCCATTCTCCTTTAAAGTAAAAATTCATCCAATTTTCTAGATGAAGAACATTGCACATGTTATGGGTAAACACCATTATTGATCATTTTCTTTATCATTGCAATTGTATTGTTTTGGTGGTGGTCCACATACAGTATCTTTTCACGATTTAAGACATCTCAACTGGAATCTTTCAAGTGGTTCATTTAAACCACTTTTGGAAAAAATGTGTCAATAAACTGGCTAGGTTATTTCATTATTTACAATACATGAGTCAAGAGAAATTAAAAATTCATGCTTAAACCTATGTTCTACTTACATAACAGCAATGATGCTGGTTGGTCTGCAAAAATATTCAATTTAAAACTATACACCATAAGGAACAGTATTAAAGGGGTATTAGCTATAAAATTCATGTTCACCAATTCAACTAAAAATCTAATATTTTATTTATAAAATACTATAACGTCTATCAAAATTGTATAGGTCATTTGACCTGAGATGCACATCAAAATATAAATACACAGGCAAGCAAGTGCGATTGTTTAATGCCAATTTTTCTAGATCTGTTTGGTTTTATGTCAAAGATTAAAAATATGTAAATATCTTTTTACCTGTATTTGAATGATTTTTTTGAAGGATGAATAAATTAACGAAAGGGATCTTCCCAGTATCTGCCTTGTTTGAAACAAGTTATTTCACTTTGCAATTTTGACAAACTTATCTTTTTGTTAACTAAACATGCTTAGCCCATCCCAGTTAAAGGTTAAATTGAAGTTTGCATGAATATGGATTCAAATGAGTTGAATTATTGACTTGTAAGTAAATAATAATAAATCATTAATGTTTTGAGCTTATTTTGACAAAATTGAACCAAAACCGACTGCTAATAGTGAAATATTATTTCACAATCCGCTTTTATAAATATTTGAAAAAAAAAAAAATCACATATTTTTATTTTTATTCAACTAAAAATTCATCAGTTTCCAATACAATTTTTTTAATGAAATTTTCCAGAAGGTAATTGGCAGTGGTACATATCCTGAATTGCAGGCAAAGTCATGGAATGTCAATCTGAAAAGGAACCAAATTTTCAAAACCAAATCAAGTTGGTCAAGTGAATTATCAAAATTTATATACTTTGTTCCATAAATTTCAATTCATAATTTTCAATATTGGCTGGTTAGCTGGTACCCTCTCACCTCAGTAAGAAACAGAGAACATGATCAATCTTATGGATATATCCAATTTTTAGAAATGTTTATTTTCCTAGATTGTCAATGGAAAATCAAGATAAATTCTTAAAATTGAACTCACTACAGGTAATGCTGTTTGTTTTGTTCAATTGTACGAAGGGTTTCTGATCAAAAGATTGTTGGTAGTTTAAAAGATGATCTACAAAATTTTTGAAAAGCCATTATAGTAGCTACAAGCTTTTCAATGTGATGAATTAAAAATATGTAAAAAAGCTTTGGTTTATATACTGCATTGGCTTACCCTCGGTCTTCTAAACAATCTTTCCAATAAACCACCTCTGTTTTCTGGAGGTGGTGGGTCTTCTAAATCTGGTGATGGACCACCATCGGGACCAAAAGTATTCAATTCTTTAAAACACTCTGTTTCTATCATCTACAAAATTTGAAAAAAAATTACATATGATATATGCCAATTAAGAGTATTTGTTTCTTTTTTTCAAACACTTTGACAGTATCAGACATGCAATGTCTTATAATTTGTCTTAAATCTATATACTATTGACAATTGTCATTGCTGTTCTACTGTTAGATATTGAAGTTCTGTGATAAGATGGGATGATGTTTACTGCACATTTGATAGTTTTTACAACATATCCAGGAGAACGTTTAAAAATATATACTGCTATTTTTTTTAGATCTACCAAATGATTTGGACTTTTAAAAAGTTAGCTTACAAAGTAACACATCTTTATCTGCAGGATAAAATCCCATCCAAACTATTATATTCATGTCATTTGAACCCTGGTGGATAGTTGATTCATTGGCAATCATACCACATCTCCATATTTTTATAGTCAAATTATTTTGACTCTCAACTATTAAACTAGGATTTGCCTTCACTCCAATAAGCTTTTTCTTTAATCAATAAAAGCAAATAATAATTTAAAAGTCTCTTGTTTGACTAAGGTTGAGAAATAATGCATGGTAAAATGACATTTCTAATTTACTATGTAATAATAACAAGCATTCTGTGAGTATTGCATGGCAATACATAGTTCCCTACTGTTTAAAAATTCATTGTATTGGAATAAATTCTAACTTGATCTATAACTTGTCATGGTGTAAACTATATAACAAATATCAAGTCAATATCCTCAAGCATGATGAAAAAAAGTGTGGAAAACTGATTATTTAGAGAATTTTCTGAGTCCAAGGACCATTACTCTGCACAAAATCATCAGACCGGAACAAAATTTGAACTTGATCTGTAACTTGTCATGATAAAACTATATACCAATTTTCAAATCAATATATTCAAGCATAACAAAAAAAGTGCGGAAAACTGATTATTTGAGCGAATTTTCTTAGTCAAAGGACCATAACTCTTCACAAAATCATCAGACCAGAACAAAATTCGAACTTGATCTGTAGCTTGTCATGATTAAACTATATACCAACTATTAAATCAATATCTTCAAGAAGGACAAAAAAAAGTGCGGTTAACTGATTATTTGAGTGAATTTTGTAAGTCAAAGGACCATAAATCTGCACAAAATCATCAGACCGGAACAAAATTTGAACTTGATCTGTAACTTGTCATGATAAAACAATACATCAAATATCAAATCAATATCTTCAAGCAAGAGAAAAAAAGTGTGGAAAACTGATTTGCCGGATGGACGGATGGATGGATGGATGGACGGACAGACAGACAGACTGACGGAGTGCAAACCTAAAGTCCCTTATACTTCGTCGATAGGGGACTAAAAAAAAAATTGACCATAAAAATGTTGAATCTACATTTTGTAAAGAAGAGTCAAGAAATAAACATACGTACAGGTTGCACCAAAAGTAATTTTTCTTATTTACATACAAATATTCCCATTACAAGCTTTGCCCCAAAAATTGCATCCTTAAGACAGTTTTAATTATACATTTATGGTATTCATGTAACCTAAACATAGCAATTGTAGCATTTCTCAAATATTTTTCATTTAAAAAAACAACTAAAGGTATATACCCACAATATGCCTTTTCGGACTGCCAACCTCTGGTGCCATTACAAATATAAGAAGATGTGTTATAATTGCAAATGAGTCAACTCTCCACCAGAAACCAAGCGATGTAGAAATTAGCAAACTATTGGTCACTGTACAGTCTTCAACAATGTGTAAAACACATACTGCATATCAAGCTTTAAAAGGCCCCAAATAACCTAGGTAGTAATTTACCATATCAAGCCTGATGGGGCAGGTTCTACTAAACATACCTCTTGTTGCCAAGCGTACGATACACTGCCTGTATTGAACTTTACATAAAATTTATCATCAGTTGGATCTAAATTTACTCCTTTTACTGTAGAAAATTGTTCTATATCTAGAACGTCTTTACAATACACAGCTCTTCTCTGAAAATAAAAGAAATATACATACTATAAACTGATCATTGAGAAAATGCAGACAGACTCACATAACCAACTAAATAGCCTCTGTTTTATTCACAACGTTCACAGACTCAGAACAATTTAAAGTTTGACATGATAGATACAGATTTTTCAAAATTTCCCTGCTGTAGCCATCTCCTGAGAAGCTAAGCTAAAATCTCCCACTTTTTAGAAAATGTAACAAACACATTTTGGAATATTCTCAATTGACCAACTTTTAAATTCAATGTGAAATATTGTTTATTTTCAGTTATCTTAATATCAGTTTTAAGACTGCTACAAAGGGGGTCACACATATTAGAGAGCAAAGAATAGTCATAATGAAAGGCCAACATTAACTTCTAATTTGATACTTACAGTGAATATTAATTTTGAGAGCCTAAATAGGCATTTGTTGATGAACACTGATAAAACCTACAGGTTTTTAAATTCATCGGTAACTTTACAACGTAACTTTTACTAGTTTACATTAATTGACTAATCTCATATTGTTGCCTTACAAATGTTCATGAACTTTCTGTATATTCTACAGGCAGAATTATTCATTCAATACATATGCCTTTACAATAACTTACATCGGGAACAAATGGTGGATCCTCTATTCCAGCTTCTAATCGTTTAAAATTGATTGTTTTAAAAAATGGGTGGGCTTTAACTGCATTGGCACCAGACTCTGAACAACCTAATCTACTTGTTGGATCTTTCTGTAGAAGCTGAAAGAAAATTAATAAATGTCAGTATTTAGTATAAAGGTATATTTTGACTAAATCAATCTTTCTGCATATTTCATTTTTAGAAAGCATTTAAAAAAGTCAATTTAAATTTACTTTTTTCTACTGAGAATAATTGTATCATATTATAGCCATCATTTTGTTTGCAAGCGTTAGAGCTACTTTATGTGTGATCAGTGTTAAAGGCCAGAAATTATTTAAAATAAGTCTTAATATCAATATTAAATATTATTTAACGTTGAAAGTTTCACTCATGTCAACTTAAGTTTCAGAGGTTCCAACTACCATTGGCAAATATGACCACATATAACTTTATAGAAAACCAAAGGATATGGGGTATCCATCCATGACACAAAATCAGTACATGCACAGCAAAAAAAAACAATCAATAAGCAAAGGAACAGCCCTTTTATTGCTGTTCTTCATCTCAAAGTCAAGTGAGGCCTTTGTTGAAATTGATTTTGAACTACCTACTCTTATTGTATTATATTTCTTCAGCTTTCAAAACTTTTGGCTATATAGTTTCCTGATATAAAATAACTATCCAAAAAGCCTGTTAAATGCCATAATTCTGGTTCTGATTTTAAAATAATATAAAATAATATGTAAACAATAATAACCTGTTGACAAATATCACAACAATCCGGATTAGAAAATTTAGATGAGTAAACTTCTCTATCTTCTTTCACTCGACGATCCACCTCCTCTCGCCGAACTTTTTCTTTTCTTGCCCTAAAAGGTCCCTGTCATGTATAAAGTTTAACAGTTGATTAACTTTGGCCTGAACGGGATATATACTATAATTTGACAAAAATATACAAATAATATTATACACAACTTCGGGAATTTTGCTTCTCTTTGACAATTTTTTTTTTATCATCTCCCTTACAGGCATTTTTTTTTCTATATCCGTAATATTAGGTTTGATGTATAAATACTTGTCTGGTTTCATATGAAATTGATGTATTAAATTAAAGTAGATTGATTGGACGTCTTCTTTTATAAATAAATCTAAAAAAGAAGGGCATCTTGATGTAATACTGATATGCTGATAAAAGACAACCATTTCAACATTCTTGTATAACAGTGTGTTTAAAAATCAGTTTTAAATGATATCTTTATAAACCTGGTTTAATTACCTTAAATAAACCTCTCATTTGATTAGCCATAGTTTGGAAAGTTATTGCTCCTTCAGAATATATTTACAAAGATTACAAATACCTGACAATATTTCTAGTTAAAATTTTATTTCTTACATATTTTTTTGGTGTTTTCTTTAAAATAATGGCCCTAAATCATTAAGTAAAATTCATCTTGGATAGAATAACACTGTTTACTTCATTTGCACTAGACAATGGGAGATAACTCTTACCTTGCCTTCTATCATTTCATAAATAATACAACCTAAACCCCACCAATCAGGACTAAATGAGTATCTTTCATTTTTAACTACTTCTGGAGCTGAAACATAAAAAAATGGCCTATTTTTTTAACATATTCTAATAAAGTATGCCAGTACAATGAGAAAATATATCAATATGGCAAAATAATTTCAACAAGAATGCATGTGTTGTTGTGCTAAGCATACTCCAACTCAAAATTCAAAGTATCAGATTACAGGAAGTGGTTGTCTGTCATATTGAAAAATGCTCACACTTTGAAACTATCACTGATAAGCTGCTGACTAAATATGCAGTCATTCAGTTCAGTAGCATTTGAGAAAAGTGTGATGAAAAAATTTAAGTTCATTCAACATATTGAAAAATCAAAGTATTTTCAAACAGAAAGAACATGTCTGACAGATCCGAAAAGTTCTCGTATATCAGTGTCAATCAGCTGAACAAATATGAAGTCATTCTGTTTAGTAGTACATGATGAAGGTGTTTGTTGGACGAACAAGGTGAAAGCATTTTTAAAGTGGGGTATAATGTTGGTAAGCTGTCAGTAAACTAGAAATGATGTATTTTCTACTTGAAGGCTTTTCCACATTTTTTATGATTTATCTATTACAAAATTTTTATATAATTGGGATTCATTTCCCTGTTTCTTCACTCATAGAATGGGGAAAGTTAGATACACAAACTAAATTATCTAGGAATTAATATGTTAAACCCTTTTTTTAATGGAAATAGACATATTAAACATTGTTTGTACAAGCTCGCATTTATTTGGGGAGATTTTATGTATTCTAGTCCTCTTGATTAATTTAATCTATTGTGATAAGAATATGTAACACCAAATTTATAATGACCTGCATCACTTTCGAATGTGTCTAATTTCATGAAAAAGATATATGTCACTAACAAGAATGTGTTCATAGTACACAGATGCCCCACTCGCACTATCATTTTCTATGTTCAGTGGACCATGAAATTGGGGTCAAAACTCAAAGTCGGCATTAAAATTAGAAAGATCATATCATAGGGAACGTGTACTAAGTTTCAAGTTGATTGGATTTCAACTTCATCAAAAATAACTACCTTGACCAAAAACTTTAACCTGAAGCGGGACAGACGGAAGGACAGACGCACAGACCGAAAAACATAATGCCCCTAGGTGGGGCATAAAAAAGGGCATTCATTCATGTGTAAAATAAACATTGAAAGCCTTCCAAGGACCAAATGGAGATGAGCTTTGGTTAGTTTGATTACACTTTACATCTACAATAGCTGGTAATGAATTAAAGGTTCATTTAACAAATAAACAAAGTTTACTTTAGTGCATGAAGTATATACTCAGGAATAAGTGCTGTAAATGAATATCTAAACTTCAAACTAAGAGTACACTTTGCACAAAAGAAATATCCTTTAAAGTTAAGTTGCAGGAAATTATGTCATTAATATATTTAATTTTTTCATGCATTTTTTGCTTTGAAACTCTAATTGCTTTCAAACCTAGACAACAGTTTTCTAATACCACCCAAAATATATTTATACTGTTTGAGATTGATTGATTTACTTAACGTCAATGATAAATATTTCATGCATATTTAGGATAAGAACCAATTAAACAATACATCAAAGAATAAGGTTTCCCATAGTCACTATGATGGAGGGCAAAAAATATGGATTGTGACATATATAAGACTGTATGTATCTTGGATAAGGCACATTTTTTGATTTACACCAGAGCATCTACAGACCAATAACTGAGTAACATTTGTTACATAAGTTCTTTAACATGCAAAATTTGTAGCACTCTTCAAATACTGGACAGATTTAACGTTTCCATCCCAACAAATGTTTTACTGAGGATAATATAAAAATAAGAAGATATGGTATGATTGCCAATGAGACAACTCTCCAACAGAGACCAACTGATATAGAAGTTAACAACTATAGGCCACCGTACAGCCTTCAACAATGAGCAAAATGCACATCACATAGTAAGCAATAAAAGGCCCATAAATGACAAACATAAAACAATTCAACTAAACTGCTAACTGCCTATATCAAGGATCTCACTTTTTTTGCAACAAAAAATTCAAATAGGATTCTATAATACATTCATGTATTTTCAAGGATGGTATCAGGAGACAGAGGTCACTTTTGACAACAAGATATTAACATTTAGAAGTTACAAACAAATTACCTCTCTTACGAACACTTCATTTCAGTCATATAAAATAAGATGTGGCATGATTGCCAATGAAGCAACTATCCACCAGAGTCCGAATGATGTGGATGTATGCAACTATGCTTACTTAGTGAATAAAATCTCTTTTCCATAATTAAACAATTGAGGAGGCTCTATGGTGAAAACCAATACCCTAAATGTAGCTATGTATCCAACTCAAAATCATCACTGTAATACTTACCCATATAACCTACAGTTCCTACACGACCTTTAATTGTCTCCCCTTCTGGCACTTCCTCTGCTAGTCCTAAATCTGATATTCTAACATGACCTGTAATTATATTAATAATACGTTGATTGTAAGGGTTCAATACAACCGACAATATAATAAGTACAGGCAAACTCAATTTTGTAGAGGGAAAGTATTCATAAATTAAATATTCATTTATAATAGAGTGAAAATAAATATAGATGCTGTTTAACCATACATTAAGACTTCTCTTGACAACTACACAAGTACTCAAAAATATCCTAACAGTGTCTAGGTAGACATAGAAACCATTAATTGCTAACTTTTGACTACAAGTTTTGTAAGTCTACACTGGCTAACTGGCATTGTTGAGTCACTGCCTTACTGATGTTACTATACATCACTTCTTGGACAGAATGACATTGATTGTTTAATATGAATTGTTTATAGCAACCTTTTTGACAAAATAAAGGAACACATGTTCTTTTGAGGCACTGATCTCCTTTAAGACACAATGGTATCAATTATCAGTTTTATGACGTTTTAATCATAATACTATGAAGGGTTTATCAGAATGGTTGGTATTATATTGATCAATTCAGGGTGTTCCTTGTGGATATTCAAACTAAATAAAAAAAGAATGTGTCTTAGGACACGAATGCCCTCGCTCAAGCTTTGCAATTTTCCAAGTTAAAAAAGGGATATAACTCTAGAACGGTAAATGACTAACCGCCTAAATTTGAACTCTGTCTTCATAATGTGGTTCTAAGCATTGTGTATGTTTTAATAAAATTTGGACGAAGAAAATTTAAGTTAGAGTGTGGAAACAAAATTGGGACAGAGGGAAGAATAGTCATGGGTTACACTTAATGCCCCCATTGCCTAAGGCGGCTGGCACAAAAAATTTGCAGCCATATATAAATTTTGGCTTGTGGCCCATCAAATTTTGATTGATGAGGAAGTAAAAAATTCTGAAGAGCAATCAGGAAAAATTGTGTTTATCTTCAGATTTCAATGAGAATAGAGCGAAATCACTTTAAAATGACAGGAAAGGAAAACAAAATATCTGTTTTATTTTACTAATACTGCCCTGATTATCTAATCACTTATATATAATAGAATCCCACAATTTAGTATACCACAACTTGTGCAGGTTTATACAGAAACAGTAAGTCAAGTACAATGTACCAGTTATTTATGCATTAAAGAACTTGGCCCTTTATAGCTTGCTGTTCGGTGTGAGCCAATGCTCCGTGTTGAAGGCCGTACCTTGACCTACAATGGTTTACTTTTATAAACTGTAACTTGGATGGAGAGTAGTCTCATTGGCACTCATACCACATCTTCCTATATCTATTAAGTTATTTTGTAGTTTGCAGGAACACAGGAAAAAAACCTTGGAAATTCAGTATAATTGTTGTATCTATGGAACTTCATCCATTATGGTAACCAGGCAAATTAAGGTCGCTTGTCAAAATACATGACCTGACAAAGGAAGCCTGCTATATTTTAAAATGGATGAGTAATTTAATACAGAAAATTTAAGAAATAATTCTTTCATGTCATGCTCTATATAGATATAAGAAGATGAGTGCCAATGAGACAACTCTCCATCCAAGTCACAATTTGTAAAAGTAAATCATTATAGGTCAAAGTACGGCCTTCAACACAGAGCCTTGGCTGACACCGAACAGCAAGCTATATAAAGTGCTCATTTTAACATGGGTAGGCATGATATTTGTCAATATCTTTATACCAAGCTTTAGCTTTGAAACAAGAACATAATGATTTCCATTTTAGAATTTGTGTACTTTTAGTCATATAAAGGCTACAAATATGTAATATATAGGACCAAATTCATAGTTATGACATGTTGATCTTGCAGGGGAAATTTCACTAGTTTATTCTGCTAACAAGAATTTTCATTTTTTCAGATTTTTAATTCACGTTAACAGATTATTGTACTTCTTCGACTTTTCTTACTTCATTGATCTTGTATCTTCCAAGGATTTCAATGTCGACACTGCAGAACTATAGTAATCTATCACTAGGTCAGTTTTATTCCTAATTGTCCTTTTGTAATTATGTATTATCAAAATCAACATGTTTTTTTTATTTCTCTAAATGGAAGACAATTATACACAATCAATGTTTAAAACATATTAATTACAGCTGAAAACTACCATGTAACTATGCTAGGTATCAATAACTTACCATTGTCATCTAACAATATGTTTTCTGGCTTCAAATCTCTGAAATAATATAAATTACAACATTTATGACACTGTAAATTCAGAAATTGTGTGCATTTATTATTGCAATTTTTGAGGAATGGACAAAATTATTGCGATTTCAGGAAAAGCTACATAGATACATTAGAAGTATATATCAGATATCATAATGGGAGTTCGTATTATTGTGATACTCACCCAGACGCATTATTTGCAATCCATGAGGGATGGTCAGAATTTTTAACACTTGATAATTTGAAATATATAATGCAAATTGTGATTCAAATTTTCAACTTAATACTGAGGATACGCATTGCAAAATTTGAATTTCAATCTCAAGGGTACGTTACAGTGGAATTCTAAAGAAAAGGTGCACAACTATATGCTACAAAGCATTTATTTGTTAATTATTTTTTACATTTTAACAAGGTTTCATTTGAGATTACACATGTTTCTTTGGACAACTTCAATAACACGATCAATATTTGAGGATAATGACACTAAATTTCTAAAAATGGCATTTCATGTCGCACATACGTATCAGGTTTCCATTACATGACACCTTATCCCAAAAATAAATATAATTTCAAAATTATAGTGATGTGAAAATAACTATTTAATACATGTTTATCAAATTTTCATTAATTCATGATATTTTGTCATGCATTTAATTTATTATTACATAATAAAGAAAAAAATTTATAGTGGCCAAAGTTTGCAAAAATTCGTAAGGGTTCCGTGGAACCCAGTGTCTCGCCTACTTTTGCTGTTAATCGCAGGCTCAACAAAAATGAGGAAAAAAATGAATAAAAATATTCCTTTAGGTACTATCTTTTGATTGTAAGAAGCTTCTGTCAAAATTTGGTATAAATCCAGGATAGTTTATTATTCTAATAAATGTTTTAAAAACTTTAACTGCAGACTGTATTTAATGTTAACTGGAAGAAAAACTAAGTCCATTTATAAGTAAAATACAGAAACAAGTACAAAATTTTAACAAAATTTCCTTCTAGATACTAGCTTTTGATCATAAACAAGCTTCTCTCCAAGTTTGGTACAAATCCAGGATAGTTTAAGAAAGTTATTAAAATTTTAAAAACTTTAACCACAGAGTGATGTAATGTTTCCTGGCAGAAAAACTAAGTCCATTTATAAGTAAAATATGGAAAAAATGAAATTTTTTTTTAACAAATTTACTTCTGGATACTATCTTATGATCATAAACAAGCTTCTGTCCAAGTTTGGTACAAATCCAGGATAGTTTAAGAACGTTATTAAAATTTTAAAAACTTTAACCACAGAGTGAATGTAATGTTTCCTGGCAGAAAAACTGAGTCCATTTACAAGTAAAATACGGAAAAACAGGAATTTTATTTTTACAAAATTTACTTCTGGATACTATCTTATGATCATAAACAAGCTTCTGTCCAAGTTTGGTACAAATCCAGGATAGTTTAAGAAAGTTATTAAAATTTCAAAAACTTTAACCACAGAGTGAATATTTGTGGACGCCGCCGACGACAACAACGACGCCGACGGAATGTAGGATCGCTATGTCTCGCTTTTTCGACTAAAGTCGAAGGCTGGACAAAAATCCAGTCAACACTAGTATTGACCAGGTTGGTGGTAAATACCTGTGTAAATATCAAGAAATACTGCTCAACTGAAATTTTAATAGGACATTACTATAATAAAATGCTTCGCTGGGGCGCAGCTTGATACGACCGCAGAGGTCAAACCCTGAACAGTTGGGGCAAGTATGGACACAACATTCAAGCTTGATACAGTTCTGAATTTGGATTGTTATTAAATATTTGACACAGCATAGGTTTCTGACACAGAAAGAATGTGGTCTAAGAACTTGAATTTTTTTAATTTACCTATTATGGTCCAATGTCCAAAATCAAAATACATGGTTAGATTCAGCATATCAAAGAACCCCATATTTTCAATTTTTGTTGAAATCAAACAAAGTTTAATTTTGGACCCCAACTTGGACAAACTTGAAAACTGGGCCCATAATCAAAAATCTAAACACATGTTTAGATTCAGCATATCAAAGAACCCCAAGAATTCAATTTTTGCTAAAATCAAACTAAGTTTAATTTTGGACCCTTTGGACCTTAATGTAGACCAATTTAAAAAACGGGACTTAAAATTAGAAATCTAAATACACGGTTAGATTTGGAATATCAAAGAACCCCAATAATTCAATTTTTGATGAAATCAAACAAAGTTTAATTTTGGACCCTTTTGACCTCAATATGAACCAATTTGATAGCGGGGCCCACAAATAAAAAATCTAAATACATGGTTAGATTCAGCATATCAAAGAACCTCATATATTCAATTTTTGTTGAAATCAAACAAAGTTTAATTTTGGACCCCAATTTGGACCAACTTGAAAACTGGGCCCATAATCAAAAATCTAAATACATGTTTAGATTCAGCATATCAAAGAACCCCATATATTCAATTTTTGTTGAAATCAAACAAAGTTTAAATACTGGACCCTATCTTGGACCAACTTGAAAACTGGGCCCATAATCAAAAATCTAAACACATGTTTAGATTCAGCATATCAAAGAACCCCAAGAATTCAATTTTTGTTAAAATCAAACTAAGTTTAATTTTGGACCCTTTGGACCTTAATGTAGACCAATTTAAAAAACAGGACCCAAAATTAAAAATCTAAATACACGGTTAGATTTGGAATATCAAAGAACCCCAATAATTCAATTTTAGATGAAATCAAACAAAGTTTAATTTTGGACCCTTTTGACCTCAATATGAACCAATTTGATAACGGGGTCCACAAATAAAAAATTTAAATACATGGTTAGATTCAGCATATCAAAGAACCCCATATATTCAATTTTTGTTGAAATCAAACAAAAAAAGTTTAATTTTGGACCCCAATTTGGACCAACTTGAAAACTGGGCCAAAAATCAAAAATCTAAATACATGTTTAGATTCAGCATATCAAAGAACCTCATATATTCAATTTTTGCTACTAATCAAACAAAGTTTAATTTTGGACCCTTTGGACCTTAATGTAGACCAATTTGAAAACTGGACCCAAAATTAAAAATCTAAATACACTGTTAGATTCGGCATAACAAATAAATAAATGTGATCAAAGATTTTACAAATCTAATGCGCCATACTGTGCAATTAAAGATTACTTCTTGAAATTTTTCAATATTTGAAATTTGAAAAAAAAATAATATTTGAAGAATAATTCTTTTTAATTTCTGAAATCTGAAATGAGAAAAAATTGACCCCCCACAATTTCTTTTATCCCCCCCCCCTTTTTTCCCCAAAAAAATTCTTTCCCTCAAGATATGGTCATAATCTCATAATCTCAATTCAAATTTCCAATGGAGTTGGCAACCATAATTACCCATTTAAATTTACCATAGTGCTAACTTAATCTATTTTATAATAGAATTAAAAATATAGTGTCAAATCTTTAATATGGATTTTTTTGTAAAAAAAAAAGATGCAACATTTGCAGATATTTTTACTGGTCTTCCTTTATAAATATGCATTTCTTTAAACATAATTTAAAAGCAGTGTAAGGGAAGTAACCAAAACGTTGTATTTGGATTACCTCCCTTACACTGTTTTAAATTATCTTTATTGTTCATTAACCATTACTTTATACATAATTTAAAAGCAGTGTAAGGGAGATAATTTCAATTATGTATTTGATTTATCTCCCTTACACTGCTTAAAATTATGTTTTGTACTAAAGTATTTGTCCATTAACCAGGACAACCTTGTTTTCCCCCTTTTTTGCCCCTAATTCCTAAACGGTTTGAGCCATAACCCCCCATAGCAAATCCTAACCATCCCTTTGTGGTATGGAAACTTGTAGTATAATTTCAGAGAGATCCATACACCGTTCCACAGTTATTGTCTGGAAACTAGAAAATGCTTATTTTTGGCCCCTTTTTGGCCCCTAATTCCTTAACTGTTGGTACCATAACCCCCAAAATCAATCCCAACTTTCCTTTTGTGGTATTTAACCTTATGGTCAAATTTCAAAAAGATCCATTCACTTAAACTAAAGTTAGAGTGCGAAAACCAATGTGTCTTCGGACGACGACGCCGGACGACGACGACGACGACGACGACGCCAACGTCATACCAATATACGACCACAAAATTTTTTTGCGGTCGTATAAAAACCAGTTCCTACCAGCTCAATTATTGGGTAATTAGACAAGATATAGTCACATGACAAAAAGAAATAAAATCCTATTAATTTAATCAAAGATTGAATATTCAATGATGTTGGACGACTTTTGTGTATCTCAACTTTGTGTACTGACGAATGATGATAGAAATCCAATAACTATAATTCTATATAAAAAAAATAAATAAAAAAAACATTTTGTATCGAATTAAATATAGCAAGAATGTGTCCATAGTACACGGATGCCCCAATCGCACTATCATTTTCTATGTTCAGTGGACCGTGAAATTGAGGTCAAAACTCTAATTTGGCATTAAAATCAGAAAGATCATATCATAGGGAACATGTGTACTAAGATTCAGGTTGATTGGACTTCAACTTCATCAAAAACTACCTTGACCAAAAACTTAAACCTGAAGCGGGACAGACGGACGAATGGATGAATGAACGAACGGATGCACAGACCGAAAAACATAATGCCCCTAGGTGGGGCATAAAAATCACAAATAAATTGAATGATTATGTAAGGAGTATCCATGCCATATTATTACGAAACAAGCTGCTGGGAATAAGCTGTTCAATAATAAATTGGGATAAATATGTATATTCCCGACTAATCAAGACAATTACCGTATTCATTTATTGAGTACATATGTATATGTAGACTGTATAATCATTACGACTGTAGATTACTGCTAAGGTTTATAATCTCATTCAACTAATTTCTAATGTCCAGGTGATATTCACACCATGCACTGGTAGCAATTAATGAAACATCATCACAACGACAGATCAATAATATAAGACAAATCTGTGTGCCGTGTACAAAATGTTGTCCTTCCTCAGGTAACTTTGTCATGTGACGACATTTTGCCCTACATTCAGTTGCTGTTAGTCATGAGAATATGAAAGTGTTCAAGTCAATATTAAGACTTTTTTTGACTTTTTCTTTCTTATATCATCAGCTCAGTAGTTAGTACTTCAGTACTGACATGATTTATAACAGAGTTTTCTTAGATTGTCCATTTATAAAATAAGGTTTTACATCCCTCAGGCAAAGTAGACCCTAGATGGATTTGGGCTATTATTGTTAGGCCCATTTTGGTCATATAGTTCAACTGTTTTGTTTCTTTCTTATACATGTACATCCATGCATTGGTTTTCAAATATTACCTTGAGCGTTCCTGATAAAGGTTAATCCAGAAAAGTGCTTCGAACCCATGAAATTTATAAAGTGACGTTTTAATTTTTTTTTATATATATACAAGTCTTAATTGAAAACAACGTAAATACCGCAATTTTTATATGTGTGCATGCAAAACAAATTTCTTGGTAGAGGAGTCTAAATATAGCACAGACAACATTTTCCAAAAGACCAAAAAAAGTATATATATATAAATTGTTCTACATGAATACATGATTATTAGAATAATATATCAAAGAAGATAAAAATAGCAGCCATAAGAGTGGAGAGAGAACCTTCCAACTTTCCATTTACTGCATTTCGAAGATTTTCTTCATGCTGTCAAATAGGCAGGAATTAATTTATTGTATTAAACAGTCTTCAAAAACAACTGAATTACTTTTATTCACCATCCAATCTTGATAGTAGCAACCACTTTGTTTAGAATGGTTTGGTGATTTTTTCACACCTTTTACTTTCCATTTTCTATTTATGGTCAAATAAAAAGTTTTATGAAAAAAATTGAAACAAAAAAAAACCCATATATCTTAGCGTTTGTAATTTATGATGCCATATTCATAAATATTTACATACCGATAAACAATGCCCTTTGAATGAAGGTCAGCAAGACCACAAGTTATTTCTGCTGCATAGAAAACAGCCCTATCTTCTTCAAAGCCAGGGTTGCCCATATTGTGTATGTGAAATTTCAGATCTCCACCATTCATAATGGTTAACACTAGACACAGTGCATCTTTTGTTTCAAATGCATAGGCTAAATTAACCTGTTAAAAAAATATATACATATTTACATAGAAGTGTTATCAATTATCAGCAAAAAGTTAAGGTTTTGGTAATTTAACCAGAAAGACAAGATAGTACACTGATTCATACTGCCATACGAAAGCAGTGATAAGGTACCAATTTGATGACAGTAAAATAGATTTCTAACTATCCTACTACCCGTCGATACATTTATTTTTGGCATTGCACAAGTCATGTCTTCTTTGACTGTTCATGATGTTAAAATACTAAATCCCTGGGATGTATTTTAGTTGATTTTAGTCTCTGATGCATGATTTTTTATTATTAATTGTTTTGGCTTTTAACTAGCTGTCAGTAACTGCGAGTACTCTCAAATCGTACTTTCTTTTTAATTTGACCTGTTGATACTATTTGTAATGCTATTTTGTTATTTAATGTTAACATGGATCTTGTCTATATACCAGCTTTGATTATTTGGTATTACTAAAAATTTTCACTTCTTCGTACTACGAACATCAAAATTATTTCATTTTTCCTTAGATGCTGTTCTTGAACCTGTACAGGAAGTTTTATCTAGCACTAATTGTATAGTTTTATTGTTGATATTCACCCCATATGTACCAAGTGTTAGATTAGTTTTATTGATATTAAAGAAATTTCTTGGTATTCCTAAACGGAAGATTTTATACACACAGAAGAAGAAGTATACTTAACAACAAAATTATTTTCATTTACCTGTGTATAATATGACGCAGGTTTCTTCAAAAGTGATGATTTTCTAAAAATTGTTTGACATTTCACAGTGATATCATACTTTAACTTTGTTTAAACCTGTTTATTTACTTTTGACTTTAATTATTTATCCCTTGTAATTTTTTATTAACTGTGTATTTGCATTCAGGTGTCACAGGTGAAATTTATTCGTTCATTGTGTGTTAATTTACATTTTTTGATTGAGTTAAGCCTTCCAATTGATATTTTATAGTGTGTTTTTCTATGTTGTGATGTTATACTATTGTTTCAGAAAAGGGAGAAGGATTGGTACCATTAAAACTTTTAATCCCGCTGCAAATGTTTGCACCTGTCCTTAGTCAGGAATCTGATTACAGTAGTTGTCGTCTGTTTATGAAGTTCATACGTGTTTCTCGTTTCTCGTTTTTATATAGATTAGATCGTTGGTTTTTCCATTTGAATGGTTTTACACTAGTAATTATTTGGGGCCCTTTACAGCTTGCTTGTTCGGTGTGAGCCAATGCTCCGTGTTGAAGGCCGTACCTTGACCTATAATGGTTTACTTTTATAAATTGTAACTTGGATGGAGAGTTGTCTCATTGGCACTCATACCACATCTTCCTATATCTATTCATTCCAAATCCAAACTATAAAACATCTTCTGAAAGTGTTATTGCATCTAGAAAATTCAAGATGATGACATATTTCCTGTTTTATCAAAACTAATTGCTCTTTTATGAACCAGAGAAAAGATAAAATAATTATTTATTACTTTTATGTAAATCAGATGTAGTCGTCTCATATCTTCGTGGCTGACACCATTCTGATATAAGAAGACTACATCTAATACATAAATTTAACCCTAATGTAACTGTAAAATATTATCAAAATATGGGCATATAGGATAATAATTCCAAAACCTTTTCAAACTGTAATATAAGAAGAACTTAAAAGAACCCATTTGAGATGAAAAAGGTCCATAAATGAGTATAGATATCCTATTTCCATAATGTCACTGAAAAATACTATAAAAATATGGGCACATAGATTAACAATTCTAATACCTATTCAAACTGTAAGGGCTGTCTTAAACTTTCAGTGAGGTGAGAGGGTGCATTTTTTTTTGCTCTGTGTTGAAGGCATCACTGTGACTTTGAGATGAAGAACAGTAATAAAAGCACTGTTCCTTTGCTTTTTGCGTATTTTATGCTGTGCATGTACTGATTTTATGTCATGGATGGATAACCCATAAACATTGTTATTGCCGCCAGAATAGAATATATTTAGAATACATTCTAAGACATTTATGATCGCAAAACAAAAAGTTTCTTATTCTGAAACAATACTTACAATAAATCTTGAGTTTATTCTTTGAAGAATCTGCTTTTCATTTAAAGCCATTCTTTCTCCATTTCTCTTCTTTATTCTTTTCTTTTCTAACTTTTTACATGCATACATTTTACCAGTTGCTCGTACTTGACAAGCACATACTTCGCCAAAGCCACCCTTCCCTAACACTCTGTACATTCGAAACGTGTTCTTGGTTACAGGTTGCCTGAAATAGAATAACAAGTTCATCATCAGATTTTAAAACTTTAATCATGTTAAGTTAATGTAAACTCCTGAAATTCCAAAAATAGTTAAATTATCCAATCCATTTAAAATTATGTGAGTTCTTTTGATAAATGAATAGAATATATAATCTGGACAATCTAGAACAGAAATGTCAGTTGTGATGTCACCATGACGTTATAAACATGTTGAATGTGACATATATTTGACGTAAAATGACCATTTTAAACATAATTTTTGGTCAAACTCTGAACAGTTGGGGGCAAGTATGGACACAATATTCAAGCTTGATACAGCTCTAAATTTGGATAGTGATTAAATATTTGACACATTATAGATTTCTGACACAGAATAAATGTAGTCAGATAACTTAAAAATTTGAAATCTACTTAATGGTCCAATATCCAAAATCTAATACTTAATGGTCCAATATCCAAAATCTAATTCCATGGTTAGATTCAGCATATATATATAAAAAAACATGAATTCAAAATTTTTTAATTTTGGACCCTTTGGACCTTAATATGGACTAATCTGAAAACAGGGCCCAAAATTAAAAATCTGAATGCACGGTTAGATTCAGCATATCATAGAACCACCAGAATTCAGTTTTTGATGAAATCAAAACAAAGTCTAATTTTTGGTCCCTTTGGACCTCAATGTAGACCTATTTAAAAATGTCCAAATATCCAATATAGTAATACATGGTAAAAACCTCAAACAATTCAAGACTTTAAATTAATCTTCATTGAAATTGGTTAAAAAAAATTTCAATTGAAGATTTCTTGCTGAACATTGTGCAATACTTTGCTGTTGAGCAATACTTAGTAAATCTGTTTACAAACTAAATATAATAATTTACACACCCTGTTTGGTGTGTATCTCCTGCCATATCAGTATTTGTTGTTTCTTTATATAGATCAGAAATAATTTATGTTAGAACCAGCTTAGCCAGTATTAGAAAAGTCTTGTTTTTGGCCCCTATTTGGCCTCTAGTTTCTTAACGATTAAAGCCACAACCTACAAAATCGACCCAAACCGTCTGTGTGTGGTATGGAACCTTGTGGTACGATTTCATAGAGATCCATTGACTAATACTTAAGTATTTGTCTGGAAACCAGAAAAAACCTTGTTCCTCTCCTCCCCCTTTTTTGCCCCTTATTCCTGAACGATTTGAGCCATAACCCCCAAAGTCAAACCCAACCTTCCCTTTGTGGTATGGAACCTTGTGTTTCAATTTCATAGAAATCCATACACTTGTTATTGTCTGGAAACTAGAAAAATGCCTTTTTTGGCCCCTTTTTGACACCTAATTCCTAAACAGTTGGGACCATAACCCCCAAACCTTGTGGTTAAAATTAAAGAGATCCATTCACTTGTACTAAAGTTACTGTCCGGAAACCAAATGTCTTCGGAAGACGACATGATAGCAATATATGAACGCAAATTTTTTGCGGCCGTTTAAAAAGGTATGGTTTCCATATTAAACTGAATGGAACTGAACATGCGTATTACAAGTACATTTAGTTCTCACTGGTCAAATATAGAAGACTTGATAATCATAGTCAATTTCTATGTAAGCACTTCAAAAAACATCCAAAAATAAAAGGAAAATAATGAAAATAAAATTTTGCTCTCATGGTATACATGTCTTAGAGGATTCTTAAACAATCCTTCTTTTTTAGTAATATATCTATCTTATTAATAACCAAATAACTTATATATGTTATGTATACATGTACATTTATTTTTTTCCACAGTTGTCGTAAAACAATCAACATATTTTCCAAACAAAAACCAATTTGGCAAACTGATCAATATAAACACAGCAGGCGATACCAACCGCTAATTAATATTACAAGTCATATGGTATTAGCAAACAGGTGCGAGACAGTTTTGACATTTAAGTCCAAATTTTCATCTCTATACTGATTCTCAACGGTGTTTAAATTAGCAGATTAGGGAATTCTGTAAAGCTCAAGTCTATATTGACAGGTATATCCTATTACCAAAAATCAATATATATTATTGTACATGTAATTGATCATCAATGTCACCTGTAAATATTTATAAATGGAAAGACCTATTTTTTCTATGTAAGCCATCTTTATTATGCCTTTTAGGTAAATTCTATTTCTAGCACAAATAACATAATGTATGTTTAATGATCTTTTTTAAAGGAAAGTGGCGTCAATTTAGGTTATAAATTATGCAAGCCATTATGCAGATCTTTATATAAGAGGAACATTTTTTGTTATACATTTGAATGTTTATTTTGTGCAATTTTAACATCAATTCATTTCATTGAAAATCGTGTGTTTGAAATGTATAACAGAGATTGCACCAGCCATGGTCATAGGCCTGTTATGGGTTTTAATAATAATCTGTTTAAAATACAGAATCTGTGTCCAAGCTTTGCTTACAAGGATCTGAAAACGCCCGATTCTACTTTCAGTTTTAAAAACCTTTGGGGATCCTCAGGTTTTATGGGATTTATACACACCTTCAAAAATTTGAAGGCTGTAATTTCCTTGGCTGATCTAATAATTACTAGACGGAAGTAAAATGGTTGTTCTAGAACAGAAAGTAAAATGGTTGTTCACAGATCCGTGTAAACAAAGTCTGAACACAGGTTCTGCATTTTAATTAGATTGTTTTAATATCTCCCAGAAATGAAATAAGTATAATACTGTGTTACTTACTGTTCTAAATATTTCCATTGCAGGTATCTTTTAAAATACAATGATTCCAGAAATTCTGAGAATGGATCTTTCCGCAAATGCTCTGTCACAGCGCTGTAGAAATAAATTATAAAATCAGATCAAATTTTGCATGTTACTCATATACTATATTAAAATGTAGGTTAAACAGGTTCAGCATTGGATATCTAGAATCTAAGAGTAGAGGAGCACAGTAAGATGAAGAGCTTGTAAGCATGATTTCTAGTCAGAATAGGTAATATAAAGGGGAATGAACTATTCATTTTTGCTGCATTTAAAGTATTTTTGAGTCATATAAAGCTTTTTTCGGTTGTTGAGACTTCAATTTTTTAAAAAGTCTTCTATAAAGTGCCTACTCTAACCTGATTTTATTACATATATTTATTTTGCTAAATTGCTATTCAATTTACATTGTTTCCATCATTTAAACCTTCACAACGTATGTAAAATATTTATCATCCATATACAGGTCAAGAACTTTAACAATACATGATAGTGTAGATGTTTACAGAGTGAGTTGACTGGAATGATGGATGTAAAAATCATTGTGCCACTTTTAAAAGGGGTACACTTGTATGTTTGTTAAGGATAGAAATTTTAACTTGAAAAAGGTCCCTTAAGGACCACACAAGAGTTATTACTCGCCCATCACAGATTTGATATTCCTATTTGAACTCTATATGGCTGTGTATTTCTATATACACAACTTATCAGGCTCTACTTTGCAGGGTCTTGGTGCCAGATTTCGCTTCATGATAAAATGTTTTGGAAAAATAAAACAATTTTACCTTTCTTTCCTTTAAAAAAAAAAATTGAATGTTAGGCTAAATTAAAACAGGAAGTGTTTAGTCCATATCCATAAAACAAACAAGCCTTAACAAGACATACTTACTCAACACACGAGGTAAAAAGGTCCTTATTAGCACTATTATCTGCAATGGCTTCCTTTATTTTTGAGACCTGGACGCCATTTAAATGACTAACATAGTCCGGAGACTGAAAGTAGAAAGCATACAGATAATCATTGACTTTGTCTCCTAAGTATCTTGTAACCCTAATAAAATCACCAAAGCTGATATGGAAGCAACTTGTCATTTTAGCATTGAAAGGCCTTAACCCGTTATTGTGGATTCATTTATTTTCGTGGTTATCAAAAAAAATTTTCATGAATATTTGATTTCATGGTTTTGCCAATCTTTGCATACAAAGCCTATAAAAAATTTGTAATTCGTTGAACATTTGAATTCGTGGTTCACTTGTACCCACGAAACCAACACAAATTGGTATCCAATGAATAATAATGAATCCACAGTATTCAAATGTGTATGTTATAATGTACATGTACAATTTCCTATTTAACATCCAAGTCTGCATATGCTTTTACAGCCATTTTACAAATACTGACAGTGAATTGCCATGTAATCTTGTATGCAGCTACAATTTGGAAAGACTGAGCATGTGACATAAGATGATATTAACATGACCCATAATTATCAGTTTTATGGCTTTTAAGTTTCAAGTTATATACCACCTTACAAGATACAAGTTATGAATACATGTATCAACATCTTTCGATAAAACTCAATTTTCATAGTGACATTTCTGATGAAATACCAGAATTTATTCATCAAATAATTTTGACATTTCTAATGAAATACCAGAATTAATAAATCAAATAATTTTGGAAAGTTTACAACAACACAAATTTTTGAGGGCAATAACATTTGCACAAACTAAAAACTTAAATTTAAGAAAATACCTTTGTGTCTAAATATTTGTCAAATATAGAAGTAGCATCTGTTAATCTCTTCTCGGCAGGACTGACTTCAAATGTGGACTACAAACAAAATAAAATAAACATGTTTGATATTCATTCATTCATTCATTTAAATACACTTATAATGATATAGGAGTAGGTTTTTGATAAGGCCCCAATATTGCCTCAATTTCTAGCTAAAATTCAAATTAGGATCAAATGGCCATTATCACAATGAAAAATACTTAAAACAATCACTAATACATATTGTAGCTATAGGAAGTAGGTCGAAAAAATTTTCAGCATCAGCTATTTTTTAATGACATAAATAAATTGAAAATTGCAATAAATTTCAATTATACGCCAAATTCAATGAAAATAATAAATTTCCATTGGTTTTAAGGACTGCAACATATAGTGCATATATTGACAAACAGATCTTTCAACGTAATGTTTGTTTTCACAAATAAGTGAACCTATCTGACTTTAAAATTTTGTTTTCAATCCCTGTGCTCTATGTTTCCAAGGCCTAATTGTGGATGAAATCCAGAAGAACTTTCAACAAAATTTTGTGGGCATAACGTAACTGTCAATGCTCAATAAGAAAAGCTTAACATAAAATGTTCTTATCCCTTTTCCTACATGCATATACATAAACTTGAAACATTTTTCAACCTGAAATAATGGACATTATAAATACTTGGGGATCTTTTGCAAATTCTATCAATTAATATAGTAATACACTGTCAGACACAGGATATACACGTATATGATTTTGATATCAAACCAGCATGTGCTTGACCCTAAAAAATGTCTGATATGTTAGCTGATTTATTCACCTCTGCAAAAAACAGGTAAATCAGCAAAACAATACTATGAGCTCATTAATCATACCCTCTACATGAAAATAGAAGATATGACCTGTAGCTGCTGAGAAAATAAGACAAAAAATGTTCTTATACAACAACTTACTCCATCACCAATCAAGGACCCACAAGGAGCATAACTAGAATACATATAAAGGAAAAAGAATATTGGCCATACATAGATATACATTAAATTTGTTCAAAACGCAAGTTTTTGGCAAAGAGCAAGCAAATAATTGAAGGAAACTAAAAAAATGTGTCACACTGCATGGAATGACCAGATGAAGCTTGGTGCTCATATATCAAAAAGCTAATAGCCTAGGACTTATATTTGCAATTTCATATATATGTGCAAGATATTTGAAAAATATAAGTTTTTGACATAGAGGAAGCAGAGAATTGAAGGAACTGAAAATACAAAAATTGAACATAACCAAATAAAGATTGCTGCCATATCTCAAGCTATGACTTTTAGTTGGCCTACAAAAACTGAAAGATATGTTTTATGGACAGATGTAAACCAGTACATCTCCATTCTTTGGAGAAGGATATAAACTAGAGGCTCCAAGGAGCCTGTGTCGCTCACCTGATATTTTTGTTTACAATTGATGCATGAAATAATGCAACCATTATACTTTTGCTTTAGTTTCAGATATATAAGCCAAAAACTGGGCAGATAGATCTCAACCTGATGAACATTCTTACCCCATGTGAGATTTACTCTAAATGCTTTAGTTTCAGAGATATAAGCCAAAAACTGCATTTTACCCCTTTGTTCTATTCTTAGCCATGTCAGCCATGTTGGTTGGCAGGCAGGGGCTTCGGACACATTTTTAAAACTAGATACCCCAATGATGATTGTGGCCAAGTTTGGTTAAATTTGGTCCAGTATTTTCCGAGGAGAAGATTTCTGTAAAAGTTAACGACGGACGCCAAGTGATGAGAAAAGCTCACTTAGCCAGGTGAGCTAAAAATGTACATTTGTTTTATACATGCACTAAATATATACACTTAAATTCTTAACCTTATTGAAGTAAAATCTCACATTTACAATACAAAGAGAGGCTTTCTTTAGTATTCATGCTAAAAATAAATGCACACAAAATGAATACATCTGTACATTTTTGTATACATTGCATTAGGAATTGAAGGTCTCATGATTTTTTTTCTGGGGTATTTGGGATCGATTACCAGCAAGGCAAGGACAAGGACTTTGAAATTGTTATCTGTATTATTTCCCCTTATCACCAGACATTCAGGACTAAAAGCAATAACTGTTCAGCTGGGAGTATGAATAATGAGTCCATGTTGGGTGATAAGTCTTCCTGGTGACCGTTACCTTAAATATAAGCATGCAATTTTAAACACTGGGTCAGCATGTCGGTCTAGTATAAATATAACAAAACAGGATTTATATTGTTATAACATCATGAAGTTCTTGTCATAATTGTCTTTTCCCTCCAGTTATAAAATTGGACTTTGATATTGGATTTTGAATTGAAAATATCATTTTTTTTAAATCTTGTAGCAACCTTTACCATAACAGTTTTGGGTTAGTAGCAGTCTTATATTGTCTGACATGTAAAACCAATGAAATGTCCTTGCCTGAGGAAAAATAAATGGAATTTTCATAGTTGAACATATGGTAGAAGAAAATCAAAATATGTGTCAATTTTTTCCACTGACAATCATACCATATTCCTGAAATTGATATTCTAAAGAATTAAATTAGCTCTGTCATAACTTAAATGGTTGTCAAACAGATTCATTCTCAAAATAATAAAATATTTCGGAAAGGATAAATTTAATTTTGCTTGGTATTAAAATGAAGACTATCCAAGTGGAAAATGATAATTTAGGATCCACTGAAGTGTGAAATATACAAGAGGCCCAAGAAGGTCTTCTAGGTGATCACAATGAATCCTGATTTTTTTTCCATAGAAGTATTTAAATGTAACTTGTTCTGATATCATTGTAAATTTCAGACCCACACAATTATTTCATTAGTATTATACCTTTAACAATATGTAGTTCATTATGGTTCTACAATGTATGCGGTGGTTATCGTTTGGTTTTGGGGCAGTCACCAATTGGACTGTCTGGGTTCCCTTTTTGACATTATCAGCCAGATCCATGTACATGTCTATCTATAAAAATGTTTCCACAATAAACTATAAGAATGCAAAATTTTATATGGACTTTTCTAATTTACGATCCTAGCAATGACTTGATTTTAAACTCACGCAAATCAATTCAAGAACTATCTGATAATCACTGCATAATATTGATTCAATTTGTAATAGTATCATATATTTTTTTAAAGACCCAATATGTGTTAGTGCCTTTCAAAGAAAATAATATAAGCATAAAGTTGGATATAATAGCTTCAACGCCATTAAGACTAACAACCCTGAAAAATATATCTGTTGTTAAAAATGCATAACACGTAACTTTTTAAGCTCTTTTAAAAAACTTGTCACCTGTAAAAACCCTTAAAAATTTATGTGACATTCACAAAAGATTATAATAAGTTTGAATGGATCAGACTAGTAATACATGTACAAAGAATTTAAACAATTGAATAGTTGAATCTACGCACTGAAGTTACATCATGTACATAGTTTTGTCTTTCAATGACCCTCTGCTGACTTCACATGTTAAGACTATTTAGCATGTTTTGAAAACAAAATAATCTTTAATCTTTGATAAAAAACCTTTGTGAATTTTTCTGATTACCTGTGTAATTTATAAATTTGTATACAGAAAATGAGAACAGGAAATACCATTTGTTTTTATTCAGATTCAAGAAAAAAAATCTTTAAATATCTTGTTTGGTAGCCTGCCAATTTTTATGTTTTTTGTTGATGACTGAGGAATACTTTTCTGTAGTATTTCCACCTATATAGTTCTATAAAATAAATGATATCCGACTCAAATGAGCTAAAACAGAAATTATATCACTCTTAAATTTTGTTTTTTTTTTTATAATTAGTACCCCAAATGTGGTACATTTATAGGTGCTGTCCAATCAACCATTTTTAACTATATATAAAAAATAACTATCAATTCATAATTAAGACATTATTGGAATAACATTCCCGTGATAAAAAAATCTCTCATCGCTTGCTCTAATTTCTATTACAATCGCAAAATGTTTCAAATTCTTATACAAAGCCATCATTATAAATGATATTTTGGATGAAACAAGTACAACTACTGCAAGCAGTATGACGTATAATACTTCCAACCTCTGTAATTATAAAGCTGTTACCCTTAAGTATTTATAGCAATATCTCTATCAAGTAATCAGCTTTCCCCTGATCTATATCTCTTTACCTACTTACTCCTATCTTAATTTAATGGGAAAATGTAACATGAAGTGCCTATAAAAATCTAGATTTTTTAAGATGAATATAAGATTAAGGATATCATTAATATCTATCTACATGTATATAACAGCTAAAGTTATAAATCATGGAAATGATAGCAAAAACTTCAACATGCACAGCATGTTTCTGAATACCTGTTTGATTTCTGTGCTCAATTTGTACTTGATAAAACAAAGGAACTGTATTACTTCTGATTCTAATCTAACAGATCACCAGGAAGGCTCATCATTTTGCAGATAATATGTCCAATTAATTTTTTAAAGTTTCAAGTCTGGATAAACATACATGTATAGTCTAGTATATACAATGTAGACTATAGAATGGAATGATTTCACATCAGTAAGTCAAGTACTTTAAGCTTGCTTTCAGTAACTTGGAGCATTTTTTATAAAATGGTTAAGTGCTGGTTTTTGTCATCTTTCCCATCATTTTTGTTATTTTCCTGTACTGATTTTTACTGAGTTCTATTGTATAACTTTTTCAGTCCACTGATGAAGATAAAAACGGGGAAGGGAAAACTCCAAAAAATTGTTTAATTTAGACTTAAGAGATGTGGTATGATTGCCAATTAAACCACTTTCCATAAGAGTTCAAATGTCATGCATTATATCAACTATAGGTCACCATAAGGCCTTCCACAATGACCAAAACCAATACTGTATAGTCAGCTATAAAAGGTCCTGACATGACAAAATGTGAAGCAATTCAAACAAGAAAACCAAAGAACTGATTTATGACAAAATAAATGGGGAATGTGTCCATGGGACACAGATGATGCCCCCGCTTGCATATAAGGTTATATAAGGACATGACTCAAGAACGGTAAAAGTGACGCTACACAAATTCATACATGATCTGAGTTTTGTGGTAATAAGCACTGTGTATAAGTTTCATAACATTTAGTTGAGGCAAACTTAAGTTAGAGAATGGAAACATAAAATTCAGCTATTTTTCCATTTGTAAAGGGGCATAACTCTAGAAAGGTAAAAGTGACACCACCCAAATTCAAATTATATCTGTGTTTTGTGGTAATAAAAGCTTTGTGTATAAGTTTCATAGCATTTGTTGAGGCAAACTTAAGTTAGAGAACTGAAACAAAAAATTCAGCAATTTTTCCATTTGTAAAGGGGCATAACTCTAGAACCGTAAAAGTGACACTACCAAAATTCAAACTTGATCTGTGTTTTGTAGTAGTAAGCATTGTGTATAAGTTTCATAATATTTGGTTGAGGCGAACTTAAGTTAGGGAACGGAAATGAAAAATTCAGCAACTTTTCCATTTGTAAAGGAGCATAACTCTAGAAAGGCAAAAGTGACACCACCCAAATTCAAACTTGATCTGTGTTTGGTGGTAATAAGCATTGTGTATAAGTTTCATAACATTTAGTTGAGGCAAACTTAAGTTAGAGAACGGAAACAAAAAATTCAGCAATTATTTCATTTGTAAAGGGGCATAACTCTAAAAAGGTAAAAGTGATGCCACCCAAATCAAAATTGATCTGTGTTTTGTGGTAATAAGCATTGCATATAAGTTTCATAACATTTGGTTGAGGTAAATTAAAGTTACAAAACGCAAACCAATTTTGGGATGTACATACGGAAGTACAGACAGACAAGGGTAAAACTTAATGCCCCCTCCGCTATGGTGGGGGCATTAAAATACACAATGACAGACATTAACCAATGATAACCACTAAATTATAGGCTCCTGACATAAAGAACATGTTATTGAACACTCAACACTTCCCCTAACCTGTGCCAGTGATGTAACAGCACAAAATAAGAACAAAATGTAAAAAATCCTTTAGAATTGGCTTGACTAGTCAGATTGCCACAAACACCAAAAACAACTTACATAAAGACAAAAGATACTAAGTATTGATCAAAGAGAACTCGCAGTTACTGAAAGCTAGTTCAAAGCCAATTACAACAAATAAATACATCATTATCAATCAGTAAACATCCAACAGATTTAGTGACATAATGACCTTTAATGTCTTTCTGTTAATTGAATACTTTGGTGACAATGGCAGATCTTTGAATGTCTTTGTTTATTAGTATTCAATCTTTTTGGCCTAACTGTGAAAAAGCTTTTTTGACTAACTGTGAATAAGAGCTTGATATTTTGTATAGACACCTGTCCATTGTTGAAGATTGAATGTTGCTCTTTAGATAACTTTTAGTTATTTATATCATTCGGTTGCTGTCTCATTGACCAATTACTAATACTAACACCTGCCTTTATTCATAAAGAAAATATATACAGATTTCATATATATAAAGCAGAATTGAATGGAAGCACATCAATGGTTTTTCTGTCTGCTTGTTTAGACAAATGATTTTGCTAGTAGAATTTTTCTAATAACAAAATTTCAACGACATAAACATGATAAATATTTAATTTAAATCCATGCATGTATAAATAATTGTGGGCGTGGCTTAATCCTTTAAATCAAGGAAACGTAATTTATATTTAAAGGATATAGAAACAAAATTTTCTCTAAATATGAATAATTGATACATTCCTTTTACATTTCCAAGTGCCAGACAACAGAGTTAAGGAGCTGTGTCACTTATGAAACTTACGAAAGGCCATAAATTAATAATAAGAAATTGACAATCACTTCTGATAGACTTGGATGTCAAGTGTTAATAATTGTCAATGGTATACTTATATTTATATATAATAAAATATACACTCAATTCCAGCATAAACAATTTATGAATTCAACTTAAAGTAAAATAAGTACATGTGCACATATACACTGAAACTTTTCATTTACCTTATTGAATATAGCTAAATAATATGTTGACAGTCACTTACTTCAGGTACATGTGTATATAGAAAACTTGAACTATTATCAATGAATCATGAAAATGAGGTTAAGGTCAGGTGACCCCTGTCAGACACACATATGTACAATGTTCATCTAACATTGATTCATAAACCAAATTCAGCTGAACTAATATTCAAAGGAACTAAGACACTGACTTGAACAAGGATTGTGGAAAAATGAAAATGAGGTCAAAATCTGATGCCTCCTGTTAGACAAGAACATCTTACAAAGATTCTTTAGACCAAATAGTTGAAAGAATATTCATATTAACTTTAAATAATGATAAAGTCAGACAAACATGATGTTATAACGAATATTAGAAACTGTATTGCCAAAAGAGTTTTATTTCATATATACCCTAGATGCAGGGATTGAGCGTGACTTGATAAATATAAAATAGTACTATAGTGCTGAGCCACATGATTAATCCTTTCCAATAAAAATTCAGTAATTTTTTTCAAGCAAACACAGATGAAAATAAAAAGGTCCTGTTTGAATTCAGATATCTGTGTGCACATTTTTCTGAAACCGCAATAATAAATCTCCCTTTTTTGTCCATTCTTCAGAAATCACAATAATAAATGCACGCAATATATATATATATATAATTTTTGAATTTACAGTTTACAATTCAAGAACAACTTCACAGCAAACTCAATTTACTCCAATATTCTTTCAAACAGAAATATTGCATTACTCTGATCATGACAAACCTACATGTACAGTACAACTCAAACCTGATTAAAATTTCTTAAAATATTGAATGAAAAGAAAAGATATAAGTTGATTGTACATGGAACAAAAGTACAAGGAAGTAATAGCCAATATATAAAAGGAACAGCCCTTTATTGCTCTGACACAGTTAAATTTTAGGGACTAAGCTTTAAAATTTCACTCCATGTGAAAATTTTGCATTGACCATAAGGGAATATTCTGTAAAAGGTTAGGGGCCCAGCCAAATTTTCAGAAGCATTGGCTACTGGGCCCCTGTAAAAGATTATTCCCTGAGTTTACTTATGGCCTTCAAGGATGTAAACATGTAAATAACCCATATTTTATGTTTCAGTAAGACCAAGATAGCATCTAGCATTGACTTAAAGGATCCTCTTTTTTATATTTATTGATAACTATTACATGTGCATATGGATATCTATGAAAGATCCTGTGAAGGTACAAGTTATCAATAAATTGTATATAAAATTGGTGAAGTTCTCCTTCAAGGTTTATTGCTTATGTTCTAACAATATCTGACAGGTTATAAAATAGCATAGATGAAATTTAAAGCTAGGTACATTTATGCTACACATCTCTGGCTGTATAGAACATATTTATATTACAAATTACCACGGTTGATTACAGGAAATGTCAACAAGGACATAACATAAAATAAACACTATGAAATTCTATGTACATGTACATAGGTAATCAGAATTCATGTGTGTTGAAGTACATGTATGTCAAATCACAGAATTATATATAGATATTCAATATTGAGGTCAGTCTAATAGCCTGTTTCCCTAAAATCAAAAATAAAGCACAACCAATTGCTCTAAAAAGAACCTACATCCTAAGAAATTTTGGACACTGTGATCATAATAGAAAGATATTTACCACTTGGTCAAGGAATTTGATGGCTTTGGCAAGCTCTGGCCTTGTGTTACAATATAATCTAAATAACTGGTTCCCTATTGGTTGCTGCTCCACTAAAAACTCATAGGATATATCTGAAATTAATAATTAAAAAGAAGTTTGAGGTTATTGTTTCATTCCTTTGAGAAATTTCAAATTTAAGTCTTGTCTGGCCTAGTTATTTCATTAGTTACAACCATTTTTGGTAAGCTGACTCCAATGAATATTCTAATCTACTTAAATTTCTATGCTTTGAAACATTGTTGGACTATGGAACTACTAATTTATTCATTAACTTACAGGGCTAAGCTTGTAGCCCACAGGGCAAAATTGTTTCCTACATGTACAAATGTACATGTATCTCCCAACTTCCGGTCAGTGTCAAACACTGCCTAAACAAATACAATGACGTCCAACTGCAAAACTATTTTTTGTCTTGGTCTTCAGTCATCCAACCTTTTTGTCACATTTTTAAAGAAAAGGATTTCTTATAAATATGATGTAAAACTAAAATTTAGGCCAGAAAACATTTTTTCATTCGTACCCTGTGTATTGAAACTTTCTGGATATATTGCAAAGAATACATCATGTACATGTACCAAAAATATTTCTAGGGTTTTGTTACAATTGAGCCAGACTTGATTTCAAATAAATTGAGAACTTTATTGCTGACCGGAATACATTTAAAAAATTATTCATACATTTTCATAAAGGAACAAGTTCAAAAAGGGTTAAAATTGGCCCTACGAATTTGATTTTTTTTTAATCAGGCCAAAATACTACAAAATTTCACATAGAAATAGTTGTGAAATAAATATTAATACAAAATAACTTCTTTTTGGCACATCACATTAAAAATGACCCCTCAAGTATGCCTTATTTGTGTTGAAAAATCATTTTTTGGTCAAACTTTCTATAATTCTAAAAGTTTTTAACATAATTTACCTAGGCCACCACCCTTGATCCAGAAAATGATTGTGTCTCTGGATTCATTACTATCATTGGCAACTTCGCTACAGAACATTTTGGATCCTTGGTGGGGGCCAGGGGTATCCTCAAGCTTTTATGTCCAAAAAATGCACAAAATCATTGTTTTTTGACAATTTAACCAAAATGTGCTGACTTTGAAGCTTAGAATGTACTCTAATGAAGAGATTTGTTTAACCGAGTAGTGAGGCTTGTGAACTATATCCATTTAAGAACCAAATTATGGCCTTTTTGATATTAAACGATACACAGGGCTCTCACTAAGACGAGTCCATGAGTCCTGGACTCATGAACTCATGAAAATCTGTCTGGACTCGTCATTTTCAAAACTGGTGAGTCCAAAGATGCATGAAGATTGTAAAATGATGTATCAACTAAGCACACATATCCAAATTTTAGATATGTTAAGAGGAAAAGTTTTAATTTTGATGTCATTTTCTTGCTTTATTTTGTCATGTAGACTGAAATTATAAAGCAATAAAATTTCTTCTCATTCTTGGACTCGTCATGGCTAAAAATGATGAGTGCCTGGATTCACCTTCAAAATCCCTACTGAGAACCCTGTGATACAGTTGAATTTTAAGGCCATATTTAGCGTAAAATGAACCTTGTCTTTATGGTATTGCTCTATCCACATACCATGTATACTATCTTCTTGTATCAATATAAATCATGTACATTTTATATGTTCTTCACTCAATAAAAGTGCATCATGTGCATGTTGATTTGTACATGTACATAATCATAAGATTTTATTTCTGACTTTAAAAGTTGAAGATTTAAAAAAATCAATTAGAGTTTTACTTACGTATGTCATCTTTTTTATGTAAACATTTTGAGATGTGTGGGAATTTCAGTATCTGTTTCCATTTTTTACTCTTGCCTTTTCTTTTTCCTCCTCCGCCTGTAACGTATATGATAAATACATTAATAACATTTATAATCTGGCTTACAATGTACATGTAGGCTAGGTTGAAATAACTACAACTTGTTAAAATACTGCTGGTGTTAGCTCTTTGGAGATAAAGAAAACTTACACATAGAGGCATAAGACTTGATGTAAGAACTACCTCAAACACTGTGACAGCAATGTTTGTTTTGCACCAGACCATGGTACATGTATCAGTAGCTTTGAGCTGTCTGACAATTGCCAGATATTGAAACTGGAAATAAAGTACATGTATATACTTCTAATCTTGTAAAGATTTTACCATTTCTTTACATTACCAAAATATAATTTTACATGTACATAAAAATGCATCAATGTATTACAATTGGTAGGATGAATACTAGCAATAACTATATAAATGTATAACATGCATTGTTCATACATGTTCAGGTAATACTCAGCTTAAAAATGTCATCAGGAAAACTTGCATGGAGTCTACGTTTACATTTGTATTATTCAAACTGATTCACCTTCAGTATAAATTAAACCTTCTTTTCCCATTCTAATTGTTTTCAAATAGTCTGTGGTCAATGAAGCGGCTTTTGCCATCATTAAATTTCAATTGTATGTCTATCATAGATATACAATATTTAAAATCACTGGTTTTAATCATTTTGTTCACATTTAATCTCGGTTTTATGTCTTTGTGTATACGTAACAATTGTTGCATTGGAGCCAAGTTTTGCATTCAACATGCATGACATGATAATATTTTGTACATTTCTTCAATTTTAATAAAATATTTTGTTGTTGCTACATGTACATGTACAGTACATTGTACCTTAGGCTAAAAAAAATATCCTTCATGTTTTCCGTTACATTTTTGTACCTTGTAAACTCTTCAAATTTGCTTACATGTATATGTAATTGTCATAATCTACTTTGCAGTTAAATAAGAGTGCCAATATAAATTTCAGTTTTAAGTCTACACCGTAACATGCAAGTAGAAGAGCAGTAACATTAAACAAAACATTACTACCTGCATATTGTCAGCTATGAAAGAACTTAAGTTCAGCTAGATGTTATCAGGGTTCTCACTAAGAATTTTTGAAGGCGAGTCCAGGGACTCGTCATTTTTAGCCATGGTGAGTCGAACAGTAAGAAGACATTTTATTACAATATAATTTATCCTTTTAGTCTCCATGACCTAATAGAGCAATTAAATGACATTAAATTCAGATTTCTTTTAAACTTTTCATATAAAATAATGATATGTGTGTTCAGTTTAAACAAAATTTTTAATCTTGATGCATCTTTGGACTCATCAGTTTTGAAAATGGCGAGTCCAGACAGATTTTCATGAGTCTAGGACTCATGGACTCGCCGTAGCCTCAGTTATTAAAATGCATGCATTTCTTTCAGTATTATCTTTTATGATTGCAAGGGTTATATAAGGCCCATTATGTTATTGTATCCAATATAAACCTATACTCGTTCTAATAATATGATTGAAATTGTTGGTGTTTGTTTACATAAAACTGGAAATGAGACCATTTAACTTGCAGAAACTACAATACTATTAATTTCATTTTGAAATGTAATTGAATGTTATGTAGATTCATATTGATGACTGATTTACTATTTTTGAAAGATTAGAATGCAAAATTAAAAGACTTATCACTTCCTGAGAGATAAAAATTGATATTTTCAAACTGTTCCTCAACTTAAAGCAGGAGGTGCACTATTTTTGGCCAATCAGGTGATGATTTTTATATTTGGCTATTAGAGTTCATCACTGCCTGAAAATTTATTTACGAAAATGGAAGCCATAAATTCATGAACCAACAATGTTAAAATTTGATGTGTGATTTCCAGAACCAAACACAAGAGACCTGTTACAAATTAAATGAAGTATGATTTACCAGTAATGTAACCAGATGGAATATAAAATCTCATATGGTTAAAGTCTGACCCTTATATTACATGATACAATAAATAAGTTCAAAAACATGGGCTTATTTCCTACATTGTAGGTGAATGAATTTACATATATTTATTTAACTTCTCACAACAGAATGAACTGTTTAGATGTACATAAGTACATGTTTGTACATGTATAGTTACCATCTTCACTAATGTACATGTATACATGTACATATAAATAAATAACAGATTTTTGTCCAAATGTTTTCCCTATTAATTTTTTGTTTTTTCTCTCTTGAACTGAAAAAAAATCGTTCCAGATTTTGTCTTAATGATATGCACATTTGACTTTTCTAAATACTATACATTTTGTACATTTTTGTGTATATGCAGTTAGCAAAGAATGAATTTTAATCTGACATTTAAGATGTTTGTGTTTCCCTTAGACTGTTTTCCTCAATGTGCTTCTGTCCCATCAGATATTTCACTGTGCATGCTATTCTATTATTTTTCAATGCTGTTAATTTGTTCAGTAAATTTGAAATCTTTCAATATTTACAATTATTACATTAAAACAAATGAACATGTACAATGTAATTGCAATGAAATAAATGACAGGATTTCCTAGTCACATAAAAAAGATAAATTTCTCTTCTCTGACATCATAAAACAATGGGTGCTGTCAAGATCATCTGAATGATGTACAAAAATGAAGCAAGAACGATAAGACGTAGTCCCTTGCATTGGTGTAAAACTCAATGAAATATTAAAAAAGAATATAACCTAATCCAAGAATTCAAATATAAAAAAAATATTCTTCAGCTCACGAATGAACAACAGAGATAATTAACTCAATCAATTTACACATTCGTGAATTGATGTGTTTTACAGTCACTTGTTGCATTTTTTTCCACATTTGAATTCTTGGGTTAGTTTTGAAGCACCTACAAAATCATCATTAAAGATGTAGTGATCTGTTGGAGAGTTAAATTTATTCACTGTTAAGAATATAACCTGTCATCACAGGCCAATTAACTCAATACATTGCTAGTTTGCAAGCATAGCCTAAAATCTTGACCAGACACTGGTTTGTGGTCTATCTTATCTTTTGTATACATCTAGTCACAATTATGCATTAATCATTATGCATGCATTTATTATGAAATTAGCAAAAGGGGGTTTTCAAGTTTCCATTCCATGAAATATATAATTGAAAAGAACAACATTTTTATCTTTCTTTTAATTACATTTTTTTAATATTGGTCAACTGAAATTGACGTCTGCATACAAATGTGTATTCCGAAAAGCCATTCCGAATAACTTATACACCATACACACATATGAAAACATAAAATTTCTTGGGAAAATTATATGCATAGTATATAAGCATTTGTGAAAAAAATGAAGTTCTTTTGTTTTGAAAGATAACAGTGCTACACAATACCGATAAATGTAATAAACTTAAAAATATAAATTGAATGAATATTATGACAGAGAGAAATGACAGTTGTGTCGATACTTTACCCTCGCGTGCTTTTAAATACACAGTATTTGCAACGATGTTTTCCAATTCCATTTACTTATTGTTTTGAGATAATGGAGATCAACAAGGGTCAACTTCGACCCTAATTGAGTCCACTAACTCGCTATAAAAATCCCAGGGTGTGGTAAAGAAATCCAACAATATGGCGAACATTCAGAAAATGAGAGAGTCGTGTGATCTGATTGGTCAAAATAGGTTTCTGTCGACGAAATCGATGAAGGCAAAAGAAAGGGAAACTACTCCTGTTCAAATAATAATAATCGATTAACATTGATGTTTGTCAACATAGATTTAAGAGTAGCAAATTAATGTGTTGTGCCATTTTAAAAAGGAAAATATTAAATACATTATCTTGTATACTTTTGATTAAATGAAATTTTATTTAAATTTTTATTTGTTTTTGTTTTCAGTATGACAAAAGAAGTGTGGAAGTTAATTAAGAAATTATTTATTTTTTTTAAATTTCTATGCCTAGGCTTTGCTCATTTTTTTAATGTGTTTTCAGTGACGTCCGCTTTCACACCCGCTGTAACAACAATGTCTTCAATGACGTTCGCGTGTCGGTGGGTGTCTTCAGTGACGTTCGCTCTTTAAATTGCTCGTTGAGGAAAACGGGATTTACAAAAAAATCTTTGTCCATTATTGAATATGTAACATTTAAAATATAATTGTTGAAACCTTTTTTATCCTCCAATTAGTTCTATGTATACACATGATACAAAATACATATAAGAATTGAAACGATAAGTGTAACATTTAAATCATTAAAAATATTAACCATTGAAGTTCTTAGATATTTCATCAAACTTTCTATTTTACAGGATGATAGAATAGTTAGTTCGGACTATACGTCATGAAATCGGAAGTCCATTACTCTAGTAATAGTAATGGACTTCTGATGAAACTAGTAAGACAAACCCCGGTCCGATGGCATTCATGTGTATTGGCATTGCTGATAAAATGTGAATAAGACTATCTAAATAATATCAACATAACAACCTATATAAAATAGATCGCCAGTGAGAAATGGGTTACTGATGTTTTTGACGTTAAAAAATGCGAAAAAGGCCCTGAAACTATTTCAGTACATATAGAAAGGGTTTTAAAACATTTTAAAAACTAGCATATACGTTAAAACATGACCGAAATTCCGTGACCATCGTCCCATTTTATCGGCCAACTTTCGGTTGAGACGAAACGTAACACCAAGCCGACTACATCATTGTGTGATAGACTTTGTCTTTTTTTGTAATGATGACAATTTTATAGAGACAGAAACAACATATGTTAATAGACTGTAATATTTTCTCAGATACAAGGGAAGAACCTTTTAACCATGTTGATATTTTGAACAATTCTTTTAAAAGTTTTAATTCGGATGACAAGTTAAACTTTATAATGAATTGTGATGTTACTCAAGTTTGATAGCAAAGACATTGCATCTTATGTTAGACGTAATAAGACAAATTTCTAAATTTCAATCTTTTCTGAATGTATTAATGAATTTTAACTCTTATGTTGTGTTATTGCACTACTGTCCCACGCTAGGGGAAGGTTTTGGTGCCATCTAACTACTTGAACCCCGCCACATTCTGTACGTGCCTGTGCCAAGTCAGGAGCCTGTTATTCAGTGGTTGTCGTTTGTTGGTGTATATCATATTTTTTTTTTCGTTCATTATTTTGTACATAAATCATACCACATCTTCTTATTTTTATATTTAACAAGTATTTAATAAAGAGAGAGAGAGAGAGAGAGAGATAATTTGTTCATCAACAAAGATTTTAATAAAAAGAAAGTTTGTTATCTCCCTTTGAATAGTAATTTCAAGTACAAATTTTGTTATGTGCCTATATCAATATACCTATCCTGATCCAGACATATGTCATGTAGAGTGTTTAATCAAACAATAAATGATACTAAGGCTTTATATATTTCGCGCGTCCGAAGAACTTCTCTTGATTTACACTATAAAAACATCATTTCAGTTTTGTGAGCACAGACAGACTGACTACACACTGACAGTTGACTGAATTGCAATAAACACCGCTGGTCAAAGTTTCGTAAAAATCCGAAAATCAAATATCTCCCAATTATGATTACCTTGCCTGTTTTTTATATTCCTATTGGATGTACATGTGAACAAGAAGTGCTTTTCATCATCTATTTCACCTGAATTGCACCATGAAAAACATTCTTTTGGAATGTTAAATAACTTGATATGCTTTGGAAAACATATACGTCTCAAGTTATAAAATAGTAGTTTATTCATACTGAATCCTCCTTCAAATATTATTATAAACATTTTCAATTCTTCTCCATTGACAGAGTAGTAAAGCAATGCAACAGTATCAGCCTCGCAACTTACTTATAAATGACGTAGTTACAAATTATAAAAATAAAGATTCAAAACCGAAAGATAAAATTCTGATAAAGGAAGTATTTTGTTCGCTGGAAAAAAGTTTCGGAATAGCACCATTAATTTGTCATAATATCGGGGAAATTGGCAGTATTAAACAAATACAAATATTACATATTCTAAACTAACAAATCAATGACCCTCCAGCTAACAACTACAAAAATGTAACCATATATTGTAAGCTTCAACTATGAATAAATACATAATACTACAGGATATATGAAAATTTTAGGCACATTAATAAAAAAAAAGTAATTTAAGTCCTCATACTTAATTGCCAGAATTGGCTTTGTTTTATGCACAAACCTGTGCAGTTGAGAAAGGGTTAAGGCTGGCATGACATAAATATATACAAGTTAGATGCATTTTGTGTACAATTATGGCTTAATAAATAAACATTAAAGATCTTTTAGCCAGACGCCATTCGATGTATGCATTATTCGCTCATTTTATATTTCCAAATAGATTAAAAGTTTAAACTACATGGCCCCGGCCTTAAAAGGAGATTGACCAGATAAAAAGTAGACGGCACATACATTTGTTTAAACCACTAAATAACAATACTATCAAGTGTTTTTCCCTTTGGCAATAAATTTCCAACCCATAAGTGTGTTGATTTTTACTAGATAGATTTATGTTTAACAGTCAATATAAAAAAGAAGATGTGGTATGATTGCCAATGAGACAACTCTCCACAAGAGACCAAATGACACAACTATAGGTCACCGTACGGCCTTCAACAATGAGCAAATCCCATACCGCACAGTCAGCTATAAAAGGCCCCGAAATGACAATGTAAAACAATTCAAACGAGAAAACTAACGGCCTAATTTATGTACAAAAAATGAACGAAAAACAAATATGTAACACATAAACAAACGACAACTACTAAATTACAGGCTCCTGACTTGGGACAGGCACATACATACAGAATGTGGCGGGGTTAAACATGTAAGCGGGATCCCAACCCCCTAGCCTGGGACAGTGGTGTAACAGTACATCATAAGAACGAACTATAAAAATCAGTTGAAAGAGGTTTAACTCATCAGATGGATAAAAATATAAATACTACAAATACAAGTGGACGTGGCCGGGTACTTGTACATCCAAACAACAAAAAGACACTAAGTACAGATCTGAGAGTACTCGCAGTTACTGACAGCTAGTTCAAAGCCACTAACAACTAATAAAAAAAAGACTATTTTCACCACGCACGTCTATATATGCTGTTCCTATATTCTTATAGATATAGAGGGGCATATATAAATTATTGCTGTTTTTAATTTAATATCGTATGGATGTGACCAAAACACATCAAATAAGCAAAAAAAAACAACGTTAAGATATTAATGAATATTTAAAAAAAATGAGCACATGAAGGAAGGAACATGTTCAACCTAGCCATGCCACATTCTTTATGTGTCTGTCCAAAGTCAGGAACCTGTAATTCCGTGGTAGTCGTTGGTTACTGTCTGAAATATTTGTTTTTTTCATAAATCAGGCTGTTGGTTTTCTTTTTTGAATTGTGACACATTTTGTCATGTCGGGGTCTTTTAAAGCTTAGTATGCGGTATGGGGTTTTCTCATACCTGAATGACATACTGTGACATATAGTTGCTTCCATCTAAATTATTTAGACTCTGGTGGATAGTTGTCTAAATGGTAATCATACCACATCTCTTTGATTTTTCTAAGATTCCTTGGATTCAGTGAGGGTCGTATAATACTGCCTCCACCAACCCCAGTAACTGTCGTATAATAAACGGCCTCCGCCAACCCCAGTAACGGTCGTATCATACTGCCTCCACCAACCCCAGTAACTGTCGTATAATAAACGGCCTCCGCCAACCCCAGTAACGGTCGTATCATACTGCCTCCACCAACCCCAGTAACTGTCGTATAATAAACGGCCTCCGCCAACCCCAGTAACGGTCGTATCATACTGCCTCCACCAACCCCAGTAACTGTCGTATAATAAACGGCCTCCGCCAACCCCAGTAACGGTCGTATCATACTGCCTCCACAAACCCCAGTAACGGTCGTATAATAAACGGCCTCCGCCAACCCCAGTAACGGTCGTATCATACTGCCTCCACCAACCCCAGTAACGGTCGTATCATACTGCCTCCACCAACCCTAGTAACGGTCGTATCATACTGCCTCCACCAACCCCAGTAACGGTCGTATCATACTGCCTCCACCAACCCCAGTAACGGTCGTATCATACTGCCTCCACCAACCCTAGTAACGGTCGTATCATACTGCCTCCACCAACCCTAGTAACGGTCGTATCATACTGCCTCCACCAACCCCAGTAACGGTCGTATAATGTACTGCCTCCACCAACCCCAGTAACGGTCGTATCATACTGCCTCCACCAACCCCAGTAACGGTGGAATAATACACATGATCTGCCTCCTCCAACCCCATAAACACTCACACACATAGAAAGGTTTAGAGAATATTAAATATTCAATGAAATGTTTACAGATTTAATCAATGTATTCCGATACTAAGTTTGTAATTGAGCACTATGAAAGCGATGGTGCATATACCAATTCTAAAAAGTATTTAAATTCTTTCTGTTGTCTTTGTGACATAAGCATGGGTCACTAGTTAAAGATATTCGTTGTATCCAGGGACTTACACAACAAAAAATGGTAAGGAACTGCTTTTCAAATTATATATCAAATCATTCTTTCATATTATCTTTTAATAGTAACCTTTTCAAATGAAGATATATTACATGGTCACTCTGTGGAATTGCCTCCGAAAACCTCACCCAAATTCGATATATAAATGTTTCATTGTTTAAACAATTAACCGACTTGAATTTACTACTTTAACGCTTACAATATATGATCTAATTCAGTTGATTCGATTTGTTATATTGGCTATAACATGTATAAGGTTATCTGAATTGACTCGCCAGAGTTAATTTGATACCACTGCATGAAGCAATTGAAATTAACCCTTTTAATTCAGGTAATTGTTTATTTATCTTATTTCTAGATTAGTTGTTTTTACTCATTTGAACAATTTGATCTCAATGGTGCAATTGAAATGATTGAGTCAATCGACCTGATCATGGCTTATCAAACTAGACAACCCTTGTTTAGAATAACACAGCCTACAATTCTATTGATTCCACTGCAAATGGCTATCTGAACACGAGTGATCTTGTGGATCAATGACAAACCGGTCAGCCTTGCGGTTCGATTGACTCTGGACAGTTACATAACACAATTGATACAACTGAGTCAACTTTAATGACCATGCAAACTTAATGCTTCATATAAAGCATTCACTAGATCAGTCAAAATATGAATCGAACCAAATGGAATATATCTGAACGGCGGCAACTTTCTTTCACATCCGACATCCATTGACTTTTTCTAACTAAGAGGTGAATATTAACATGAAGAAAATTAAGATAATGTTTCAACAAATTGAAACATCAAAAGTGAAGCAATACTTTACCCCCACTCTCCTTTTTAAGAATATTTAATGAAAACAAAATGCAAGAATTCATTAGACATCGTATATATGAACTTTTAGAATTACATTAAATTCACGATTTTACTTGAAACTGCCACTTATATACCGATATATGTTATAGGCATTTTTTCGGCAGTGTTCAAATCTTGACCACTCGATTATATGTTCCGTCGCCACTGATATGCCATTAATACTTATAGTATCACATTATATGTTAAAAAGTTAATGTTTATAAGTCACCAGTGCTCATAATTTCTTTTTGTATAGGAGGACGACGTTCCAGAAGAACACAAAGAGCGTAAGTAGATTGAAATAGGACGATACCAGGGTACTCCTCCACACCTTAGACTATGCCAGCAGTGTAACTCTGGTAATATTGAAGATGAAGTTCATTTTTTCTTTTATTGCACAGAATATAACGAAGGCAGACACCATTTATATCACATTATTTCGGAATCATGTCCCAATTTCATTAACTTAAATTCCCAAGAGAAATTGCTGTGGCTGCTGTCTTCTGAGAACCAGTCAACTGTATTAAAAGAGTTGTGTATTTACCTGGTTAAACACTGCAAATACAGATTTATATGACATGTTTCGCATAATTAGCAATTGTTGTTTTTCAAAAAAAAAATATTTGTTAATTGACCGTATTCAGTTTCTCTATTTATTTTGTTCATCTGCTTCTGACACGGGGAGGATTGCTGTTATTGCCTATCGCACCGTCCCTTGGTGTCTCCTGCAGATGAACAAATTTCCATCTTTATAGATAATAATTTAAGTTTGTTCAAACTTTATTATTAATATTTTTTATTTTTTTTTTATTTTTGCACTGCTGGACATAGAAATAATAATGGTAATAAGGAAGGAAGAGGGAAAATACTCAACAGTACTTTTAATGTATTTTTGTTATTAATGCCATTTTCATTTGTCTATTATAATATCTGTCACGTTATATACTGTACAATGTCTCATGTTTGTTGCTTATACTATCATAATTGTTAATTGTAAATGCCCCCTGTGGGACCCTGATCGGAATAATAAAATATTTGATTTGATTTGATTTGATATAAATTTGATTATTGGTTTAAAATTTTCTCAAATTCACGAATGCTTACAAATTCTTTATGTTAATATTACTCGTTAATATGCAAATATTTGCGGCAAAATATGTATCACTGGGACAGGAGCATGCAGATGACGCGCAAAAAATGCGAAAATTAGTTAAGGCGTGTATCGTTATGTTCAAATCCATACTTAGCCTTAATGTTAGCAAAATCACTTGCAGTTTCATATGTAAAGATTATTCATTATATTATTTATCCAGGTCTTGAACAGTTGTTCTACATGTACTGTCATCCAGACTCTGGGTTACTCACCAAGGAGGGTTTTATCTCTGTGTTACGTGGTTTACACCTTGATCCAACCAACACCTTTATCGAATCTATATACGCTGAACACAACAAAGACGGCAATGGTATGTACTGAAATAAAGAAATTTGATAAAAACAAATGTGCATAGGTGTGAACATCTTTGAAAAAAAGCAGGATTTTTTTTCAGAAATATAGTTGATCGACCAGGTTTTGACATAAAATCATATGTTTGCTTATCATGTATGTACTTTAATTAAAAAACGCATTCACCAATTTTGGGCTGTTTCTGATCAAGCTTTACTAAAAATAGTTTCCCATTCAAATGTCTCTTCGCTGTTATACATCTTTATATGATTTGTTTATTGAGAAACGAGACCAACGTTTACAAGAAATTACCAGTATAAATTCCAAGATATGATCCCTGTAGATATTTCCATCACAATTGAACTATAACTACTAGGAATCATTTTCATACGGCTACTGTAGAATATTTAAGTAACTTATCGCAATCTCAAAATAAGGGGTGAAAAATTAAGAGTGGAAGAGGGGAAACGACATTTACCTGAATAAAAAATACAAAAAGGTTGCAAATATGTATTTAAAAATATATGTATTTGTATTTATTTGAAGACGATGGAATTAGTCTTTACGAATTCAAATCATGGATGAAGAATAGATGGAATACTAAAGATGAAATGGAAAACAGATTATTTTCATCACTGGAAGTTTTGTTCTCACGATATTCTGACAATCCATCACGTGATATGAGAAATCTGAAAATTCCACTCAACGATCTCATGGATGCTTTGCAAAACGCAGGTAGCGAACCTTTAAATAAAACGGAAGCTGATCTTATTCGAACAGAGCTTTCCGCAATAGATACATCAGGAACTGGAATATTAGATGGAAAAGGTACGAACAAAATGTTCATTAACTTATCAAGCCGCATTGTTTTTACTTGCTAATGAAGTATATATAAACAGAAAATTAAGAAGATAGTAATTTTCAAAAGTAACCCTGTATCAGGACCAAACACGTAGGAATATATTGTATGATTGGAAAGCTTGTTTGAATATTCTGTTTTGCCAGGCAACCAAAAAGTCTTAATGTGCAATTTCTGTTAAATCAAACATTCCCAAATTTTCAAGTTTAAACGAAATGAAATTGTCTTGCTCTTGAATGATAAAAATATGCAAGAACTTATAAATAAATAGTTCCTCATCAAACGTCCACTAAGAGGTCGATATCGTTGTATTTAACCCCAATAAATATCCAGAGTAAAATATTGATATGAAGCAGCAACTTGCAACCTTTTTAGAAGTGAAATTGTATCTTTATTCATTTCAGATTTGGTAACCTTTCTACACGGAGAAGACGAGACGTTGTCAGCTCGAGATAGTGTCCGGAAAGGATTAGCAACGGCTAGAGGTGGACCACGACAAATGGTAAAAAGTACTAATGAGATTGAAAGAACGCCAACAGGGGACCAGTATTAGTTTAACCAAGCAACATAAACTATTTTCATGAGGAAGTCTCATTATACCGTTGTCAATTGTCAAACATTTATCATTGAAAATTACACGATGAAAGCACTATAGTGTGTATTTTTGTGTCTTATAACACAATCAATAAATGTCAAGTATATATTGCAAATAAAGCCCATAAATTACTGAGTTGCTTTATACAAAGCATTCAGTTCTTGGTAGACGAATATACTTGTTCAGTGTTATAATCAAGGAAGATATAAATATAAACTGTGTCCCGTATGTTATGTAAGCATCCTTTACCCAGACAGCCTAGCAGACATGCGTTTGCAATATCAATTCACTGGCAAACCTCAATATATTGCAACAATATATCTTAACACTAGGTGTAATGCTTTTTTCTTGCATAGTATTACACGATAAATAAGCGCATACAGTTTCTTCAGACTTGTGACAGTTTGAGAGCTTGACATACCACAACAGACACCTGTCTACATATTGTTGAAGACTGTACGTTGCCCCCTGGATGTCTTTTCGTTATTTATGTCGTTGGTTTTTTGTCTCATTGACGTTTACCCAACATCTATTTTTATTTATACTTATTTTACTGTGTTCCCGTACAACAGTTATTTTTATTGGCCTAAAGAATAAACAAATTGTTAGTCTAAGCGATAGCCTGAAATCTAAGCTTGCACTCGAAGCCATGCATAGACTGAGATGAAAAATGAAAGTCAAACAAACCAGTTGTTATCCAAAAATACAGTTTATAACTGGTATGATTTTGTTTTGCTTAAAAAAGTAAACATCAAATTTTGGGGGCGTTTATATCCATTCCGATGCATGCTTGTGGTTAACAAATCACCACCGGTCCAACAGTCCCAAAAACTGTTGTCCTGCATGCTGTACAAGAAAGATGTGAATATTGAGAAAAAAAAGTTTCCAATATTTATTTAATATAATACAATTATTATTACTTCTAAAAGAACTAAATCGTTTCTGTTGGTCTCAATCACGTTAAAATGCAAACGCATGAATTTTTAATTACTTCGAATTCAATCAAACATAAATAACATTTCTGGAGCGTTGAAATATTTACTTAAAAGGAATGATGAAATATGTACATTTTAGAATATCCTCTCGATTCATTACCGGGTTACTACTTAAAAAGTTAAGCTTTCAACGAAATAGGTTTGGGGGTTAAATGGCTTGAAACGAATATTTCAAATATTTGCACAACGAGAAAGGGCATAGGAGTCTAATTTTTATCAACACAATACTGTTCTTTTTGGATTTTGAATTTAAAAAAAATTATCATGAAAGTTTGGGTACCAAAATCAATGATAAATGCAATCTGTTTAAAATATAGATCAAGGTCAGCAAAGCTTGAACACAGGATCTGTATTTTAAACAGATTGTGATAAATGGGACGACTTTTCCTTTCCTATCGATAATTGAATTTATTTATGGTGATGTTCTGTTAGCTCTTTTTCATGAAGTGTACAATTCTCAGTTTTTTCGATATGGGCGTGTTTACAGCACTTCAATGAATATAATATCTCTATTATCAAAAACAGAAATAAAAAGATCCTACATTTGTCAAAACATTTACAAATTTGTTCACATTATAAGTTTTATTGTGGAAGGATATTTACATCTGCATGAGTCTATAAAAAAAAATTGAATTCAGAATTCCGCTTTTTACGGTACTGAATATTATACATACAACTGCCTTCAAATCTGTGTTACGGCGTTCAGCAAACAACAATGAATTAATGAATCAATTCTTTCTGTTAAAATTTGGTTGAATATATTTATTGGTAATAGTTATATTGATACTGCTGATCTTCGATCACGGCGTTTTTTTCTTCAAATAACATTAATTTGTTTATTTATAGGTTGAAGAAATTATAAAATTTTTCTTCTGTTTTTGTGCATTTAATTTCTGTACAGATTGTTACCTGATATCGTTAAAATCATATCTTTCTCTTCTTAATTCTCTGTTTATGACGATGATATCTTCTATGAAGCACAGTTACCGATATTAGACGGTGTAGAATCGCATGATTTCAAATTAGCAGTTTGTCTTTAGTAACCTTGAATATTTTTTGATGCGGTATGTTATTGTTTGTAATTTTTTTGTAGTTGTGTTTTGTTATCAATCAAGTTGAGAGTTATGAGAACTAATTCCCTTTTAATTTTTGTTGTTGAACATTCTTTCATCCACCTTCTGTTAGTCAACTGGTCATGGAAAGAGGGATGATTGAGATTTCAAAAAACTAGTTTAACCCGACTTACATTAATGTGGCTATTATAAGTCGGGAACCTCATCGATGGTTATCTTATATTGTGTAATATTTTAGTGTTGATGGCAAATCTTTGTTTTTTATTTAATTTCAAACTCGGGACGAATCAGTGCTTGTCATATCGTATATACAATTATTAATCCTTAATAGCATAGGCGGCAATAAAAAAAATGTCGACGACCGAGACAGACTTGACCATAAAAAAAAAGCATACAGACAAGCAAACAAATAAGATGACATCCGTCGTGTTACTCTGGTTAAATTTGTGATGGGCCATAAGACATTAAAATGTAGCAGATTGATATAACCAAGCACAAATATAACAAACAGATTGGTTGAAGACACAGATTTTATTTCACAATTAGGTATAAAATGGCGAACAGAAGTTATGTAAAACAATGAAGGGTTTGAATAGTCAAACAGTTTTTAATCTGGGAATACATTCTTTGAAAAGAAGTCTCCGGGAGTGTTAATGTAACAAATAAAGGTATTTTGTTAACGAACAGATTCAAATAATGGAACAAAGTTTACAGAAGGTAATCTAAACTGACGGTGAAATCTTTTTTAACACACTTTTATCTTTCTCCATGACTGTGCAAGGTACTGCTTGTTAACCTGTAATAAAAAGAATACGTTAGAAATACATGTTTAGCGAGGAAAGAGAATGTTGTATAAACCAATGCATAAGCATAAGTTTATGTAAAATATTTGCGTTAACAGGATTTTCCGACTGTTATTGATGATTGATTGGACGGCGGACTATCGGTCGGGCAGGCGGCTACATCTGTTTCTGTGTAATAACTTAGGAACTGTTTACCCTTTTCAGATTTTGATACGATGTTGATGATGACAAGTCAAGTTCGATATTGACAATTTTCACTTTTGTTGTTCGGGAGTTCGGTAGTTATGATTTATTGGGAAAAATGGTACTTTGTATCGTTTATGTTCAACAATTTGAGAACCGTTCAACCAATGCTTTTTCAAATGTTAATATGTTGTCACTGATGGCAAAATGAAGGTCAAGTTCGATTTTGACGATTTTAATTTTTGCCGTCGTTGAGTTATAGTCCTTGATTGATTGGGAAATAGTCCTTTCCGTGCAATTTTTTTGAGAAAAAATGAAAAAAAATGCTGTTTAAACTTTAATATGTTGTTACTGATGATAAAACGGATGTCAAGTTTGATATAGACGATTTATACTTTTGCCTTTCTGGAATTATGTTGCTTGATTGATTGGAAATAGGCACATAATGTAAATTCTGTGCGATAAATTCAGAACGCTTGGCAATCCCGTTCAAATTTTAACTTTTTTCTTTTGGCATAATGCAGGTCAAGATTCGTTTTTACGATTTTCACTTTTGTCGTTCATGAGTTATAGTCCTTGATTGCTTTTAACAATGACGCTAATATATGAAAAGAAAACTTCGGTTTTTCATATTTTGACAGCCTCTCGTTCTTTTTAATTATTCATTATAACATGTGTATATACAAATGACATTTACAGGAAGGCCAACTTATACAGTGAAAAATAAAGTTTGCTTTCAAACACTACTAAGTATTTTAATATGTTATATTTTGTAGGAAAATTTTACAATAAATACATTATTACGTTTTGAAATGCCAGGTTGTTTTTATTTTGTTTTTAAGAAATTATGTAAAATGATCATATTTTATCGTTTTTTATTTGAAGTAATACTGTGGACAAGCTGGAGCAAATTGCACGCCAAATTCGGTCCCTGTCAACATACCCTTGAAAGCTTTTCACGTTGAAATGGCAAATGCAAAATTCAAATAAGATAACTTCTTACCTTTGATGTTTGTGAAAAAAGTTGTTTAACCAGCGATTCTGTTTCCAGTGAAGTTAAAGAGGTTTAAGAAGTACAGACCTCCGAGGACTACAAAATCAAATACAAAATATTATTATTAATAATAATAATAATAATAATAATAATAATAATAATAATAATAATAACGAGAAAAATTATAAAGTCTGAGACGCCGTGTTAAACGTACATTTTTGCGTAATTATTTTAAAGTAACTAAGATTAAACTTTAGTTAGATTTCATACTTATAAACATTTAAAAAGCCATAAACTCAAGATTCCCATTTTAATTCTTAAAATATCATCTCTCAAATAGATTTATTCTCGTAATTTTAACAAATGATTAAATAAATAAATGACAAGAATCCTCAGCTACTGTATTCTTTATATTTGACTTGAGATCTTTCAATCTTATATATAACAAACATTCTTGATACTAATGCGATTTCCTTTGTGATATTCTACAATCCCAACCACTTTCATTATTCTAACAATATTTGAACCTAGTGTAAGATATACTCACGGTAGTTAAAGAGTCTAGCCTGTTTCAGACCCTGGTAACTATTGGCAGCATAGTTTGCATAAGGAGCCACCTGTCTTGGTTGTTGGTATCCGTAGTTACCAGGTAAATAAGCACAGGAAACCAGTGCGATGATGCAGGGAAGGATCAGACAAATGGCGATTTTTGTGTTCATTTTGAAGATTGACTCTCACAGCTAAAAGGGATAAATAAAAAAGAAATTAAGCATATTTTTAAATGGTTATTTTGTTTAGGTTTCATGCATTTGATTAAAAGATATAAATATTTTTCTCATTTCAGAAGACAAGTGATATAAAGATGAAAATGCAATGCTCATCGCAATCATGTTAACACACAATGATCATATAATAATTTCTTCTTGAATCATAAATAGAAAAAAGTGCAATAGTAAAACCCTTAAAAAATCAGTAGTCGAAAATGCGCAAATAATCACATTATCGAAAAGACCTTTGACATGTCATTGTATATAAATATCCATTTATTCTCATCCCGCGCACCAAAATATTTATCATTCGTTTAGTTTGCTTTTTTTTCGTCAGTTAAAAGAAATAAAAGAGATAGATAACCAAGGATTTTTATTCTGTCATTACTCTAAAATATTTCAAAAAGTCCTACACAAACCATTTTACAAACTTACCTAAAAGAACTTAATTTGAAAGTGAATAGTACACGAGTTGTACATGTATTTATATGTAACGTAACTTCCCTGTTGAACTGAAGTCGTAAGAAATTATGTCTGTAAATCGACAACATTACAGAATGTCCGGACAATAACATTACCGCATTCGAGTGTTTTATGTACCGCTAATGCAAAAGAAATATTTACAGTGAACCTTATTTTATGATGGGAGGATGTGTTTGAAAAAGAATGAAGTGTTTTATTATAATTCTGTGCTTACGATTTTTGAAAATGTAACACTGTTAATACATTAATTACTGCTCAGTTTCATATTTATTCATTAACACTGTCATATCTTTTACTACCAAACTAACAAAATAATTCGTACTTTTTTTTACCGTTTTTTGTTGACGTATTTATATATATATATATATATATATATATATGTACCAACGAAGAGAGTGGTTTTTCTCATATCGGATATAACAAGACTTGATGCTAAAATATAAAATATTTGACGGTTATCTTTATCAAAGTGCCTATAAAAATGACACGCAGCATACTTAAATTTGCACGTTTTCGAATTTCTCTTTTTAATGGTTTTAAACGAAAATTCGATTAAGTTACCATATCTTTAATTTGAATTTCACTTGGAAAAAGTTTTCACAAATTGTAAGTTATATTAATATACGAAAAACTGACTGCTTCTTTCAAATAGTTTAAAAAAACTCTGGTTACATCCCTGGGTTATATGTCAATGAGACAACAACTCAAAAACACACAAAAAAAAAGAAGAAAACAAACAAACAAAAGACAAGATAGGATATTTTCAACAACATACAACTGTTTATACAATTTGTCAAGCTCTTAAGGGGCATTAGCTGTCAAATTCACGTTCACCGATTTGACTCAAATTCTCATATTTGATTTATAACATACTAATACATATATACAAATTACAAAAACTCCAAAAGAAATAATTTATAATTCATGGATTCTTTATAATGGATCAGTATTTCGAGTGTATGTTAGACTAGACCCCAACTATTTAACCATCGAGATGACCTCCGAAGAATGCCGATTGTTTGTACGACTAGATATAAATAAAAGCATAAATATGAATATGAAAAAAACAAACAGACACGAACAATCGTATAACAGCGATTTTTCGATCTGTTTGATTTCGTGTCAATGCTTAAAAATATATGTAAATCATCGTTTTAACTGAGTAAGAATGATTTTTTTTTGTTTTCAGAATCGGTCAACGAAATGGATCTACACCGTGGCTCCATAGTTTCACTTTCCACTGTTGACATTATTTTCTTTTCAATAATTGAACATGATTAACACATGCGTAACCGAGGGTTAAATTGAAAGTCTGATGAATACGTATTCAAATGAGTTGAACTATTAACTTGCAAGCTAATAATACAGTATCGATGTTTTTGAGCATATTTTGACAAAATGGAACCAAAGTGACTACTAATAGCGAAATATTATGCAGTCACAATTCTGCTTTCATAAATGTTTGAAACAAAGAAAATCGTATTCTATGTTTTTGTCAAAATTGTAAGATAGATTTAAAACGTCCGATGACTTTCGAAATGGTTGAATATTTTGCTGTATGAACTTAATTTGGAATAAGATATAAGAATTTGAGTTAAATCGGTGACTAGGCTACGAATTTGCGCCTTTAATCGTCCTGATTATAGAAAATTTGTGAATAAATTTAACAGACATTATCAAAGATCGACTAAATTTCCTAAATGTCGAGGTTCCTGACTGGGGACAGATATGTACACATTTTGGATGTTAAACTAGTTTAAAAACACTTTGTCTGACCTTTCCAGAAAAAAAAACGGTTTGTGTGGACCAAAATTATATCATCCGTTTTATTTTTTCAAACTATAAATTGGCGAATTAGGGCTCTTTCCGAAAAATACTAGAGGCAACGATTTAACAACAACAGTATAACTATAGTCTTCGTCATTAGTCTGAAAGCCTCCCCAGACCACCACAACAAACCCAACAAAAAAAAAATGGGGGAATAAACAATAGAAAGACTAGACGACAATTTGTAGACTTGATCGCTTAATAAATAACATTACAATAAAAACCTTAGTGTGAATTAAAAGAATTCCAGCAGGCGGAATCATACTTCCCAATGAATTTATATTTATGATGACATTTAGAGAAATGTTGACTATATTTGTCTCATTGGCAATCATACCATATCTCCTTATTTTTATATTATAATAACTATATTATCCCTTCTACAATCCACCATATGTAAGTTACAAGTTATGATGTGTATTTGATATGTACTCATGTGAAAATTTTGTTTCCCCTGGTTTCTATTTTCTCTCTCTTAATTAATACCCTATACAAACCATGTTAGTCGTTACAGTTTTTTCGTGGTTAGTTACTTATTCAAAAAGCGTTATTTTCATTACTTTATCCGTCACAACGTATATCTTATCACATATTATCGTCAAAAGGAAAAGAAGGTACTGTTTATAAAGAAGCGCTTTATTTCAAGCATTCCGAACGAAAGTGGGCGGTATAAAAAGCCCGGTGTTTCGAATAACAATTATTTGGCACGACAAGTTAAAGGGGGTTAACTAACCTCTAGTTTAGAAACGCGGAGTGTAGACAATTCAAATACATTAAGTTGACTCTATAAATAACATAACTGAGTTCAGAATGAATTATTCGATTAACAGCTGCTTATCATCCAGCAGAAAATACCATAGAATATTCAAGACGATAACATGTTGATGTCATGGAATAGGATCCCAGTTACAGGATACCAGTCCAGTACCAAAGAATGAAGTCCCTTAATAAATCTACCATCTTTTAAATCAGATATTGTACCGAGACGAAAATTATGTAAATATGCTTAAATTTAGTATATCTAATGGGTATTCATTAAACTTTCAACTTCCTTTAAATTTTCAGTGTTTCTGAAATGTATAGGGTGGATGATTGTCTGGTTAATTGATCCAAATTTTATTTTCATTTTATATTAATACTCAAAACAGTATTGCTCTCTTAAATGCCGGTCATGACCTTTCAAGAATTCTCGCAGAAACCACGAAGGGGGTTACTAGTATGAGAAAGTAATTAAAATTTTGTAGTCTGATATAGAGAATAAAAAATCTGCCACTCAATTTGGATAAAATTGCATTGACGTTCCTGACACGAATACACATAGTGCTCTATACTATACTTGCACGTGGGTCGGATTTTTTGACGTGCTAAATCACAATATAAAGGTCACAAAGCAGGAGAGAAATATCTATTTAGAGTGAATACAACTACTTGGTTCTTCTGTAATATAAAATATCGTTTTCACATTTAAAACCGATATTTTTGATTTACTAATTGATAAAAGAGTTAGCCAGTACCAGATCACATGAAATCACTACAAGTACTTAAGCAGCTATAGCTGAGAGGAAAGATAATACTTATGAATAACAAGTTTGTCTTGACTTCCAATGACATTTCAACAATGAAGACCTCAAATCCATTTAAAACGAAAGTTTTTTTTTTCATAATTAAGAGAATTTAGCCGGGTATGTGATGCGTTCAACTAAGATTCAAAACTTTAACTTCTTATAAGAATTCATACTTCTGATTTAACAGCAGTTAATGAGGGATTACAGAAGAAATGTTACAAGATCTACTATCTCTATTAATGGTGTCAATCAAATGTCTTTGTTTTCTTTTAAAAATTCCAAAGATTTATGTTTTGAAATCAAAAAGTTTTAATTTTGTAACTTTTCCACACGTTTCCAACCCTCATGTTGAATTAAAAAATCGTTCCCATAAAGTCTTAAAAAATATGTTGTTGGTTAATGAAAGAAGAAAAAAGGCGTGCTTCCATGGTTTTAGAAAATAAAATTATAATGCCAGGAACCGCACTCACAAAACGAAAAGGTACTCAGAAGAAAATAATGTTGTAATCCAGGATTTTCTTCAATCTCGTTGAACAGATCGCTCAACATACCATTGGCATAGAGATGAACACCACTTGTGCACCGCTTGTTGTTGAATGATTTCTATACTCGTATGAAGCAGAATTAATCAAAGGTTATCACTTCCGCTGGTATGTTGGGAGTTCATGTTTCTAAGATGTATTTTAAATTCGTTGTACGCATACGTCGGATTTTGTTGGTACTTACACTTGTCACGTTACTTTGATTTGTCTCGTAATGTTTTGTCAATTGTGTTTTGTCTTAATTGTGTTTTGTCTCAATTGTGATTTGTCTTAATTGTGTTTTGTCTTAATTGTGTTTTGTCTCAATTGTGCTTTATTGTGTTATATCTTGTAGGTTCGTCCATTTGTTATGTACTAGTAAACATAGAATTCTGAATTGCAATGTATATAAGATTGATGCAATATTATTCAGAACTACTTTCATACGTCTTTGAATATATATACATGAAATCATTTTGTGGACCGGAAACCACGAAGCTTAGTTAGTTACCTCGGTTTTAGACCTAACTCCTCTATAATTGTCATTATAAGGCTCGATTTTCTAAAATCATTTATGTAGACCAAAACTGCTTATGTATATACATTTTAGCGAATGCATTTTAATTTTTCGTTTGAAAGGTCTAATTCATAACGTAGTGTTTTTCTTTATTCTTTTCTAAAATTTATCTTCATTTCTACTTGCATAGGTTTTGTTCTGTATTTCTATATAGGGACGGTTTGGTATGTTATTGTTTAAACTTATTTGTTAGATCATTTTTGAAATGTTTGTTCTGAAGTGCTTTGACCAATTTATTTTTGTTTCTTTGATTGATTAAGATGGTTTGTATTGCATTATTGTAAAGTGGCCTTTGGTCCATTTTTTTTCTTTATTAGTTACGTTCTTAAGCTTTCTACTATTGTTTAAAAATTGTATATTCCAATCTTGTTCGTAACTAATTAAGTTGGGTACGATGTCGTTTAGAACTATTTAATGGTGGTTTTAATGAACTTTTATTTCACTGAGAAACGTTTTGATGAGGTGTTAACGTTACCAACGTTTTGTTCTACATTAAAAAAATAATTTCTTCAAAAATGCGAAAATATTGAAAACGAATATTTTATACTAAGATAGAACAGTCTACCTAATCTGGATTTGTATAAAAAAAAATATCTTCAGATTTTTCAATAATTGTGACATTGTCATCATCAAGTCACTTGTTTGTATAAAATGAGGACATCAATTTTATTCATAAGGTTGACCCGGAACAAAAGAATGTAACAGAAAGGTTGGTAGAGACAAATCTTTTATTCACAATTGTAATACAAATAACATCTATAACGTTTGAGTACTGTCTAAACAAACAAGGCATTACAGTACAGACAATTTTGATTATGGAAATACACTCTTTGAAATGATGTTCATCAGGACTGAAGTTTTTACACAGGGTATTTTATTAACAACTGAGTGGACACGATGCTATAAGGTATTCTGATCTGATGTAAGACGTTTGACACTCTGGTATACATCTTTACCATATAACTGTACAGCATACTGCTTGTAAACCTATAATGAAGAGTATAACATTTGAAACATATTGAAAGTTATTTGCATAAACAGTAAATCAATTTTCGAGTCCGTTTATATTAAATTCACTTGTAACTTACACCCTTCCGGAGCACCTGAGATCACCCCCAGTTTTTTGGGGGGTTCGTGTTGCTCAGTCTTTAATTTTCTATGTTGTTTTGTGTACTGCTGTTTGTTTTTGTTTTTGTTTTTCTTTTTAAGCGTTGTCAGTTTATTTTTCGACTTATGAGGTTGAATGTCCCTTTGGTTTCCTTCTCCTCTCTTTTACGTGTAAATTTCAAACTTATAATATAAAGAATATTTAGAGGAACGATCACTTTTGCAGTGAAAAAATTGAATGTGTCTATGAACATACACTATATTATAAATTTTTGATTTGATAGAAGCATTAAAGACACATTAATTTCAGTATAACGTGACAAAGAAGCCGTTCTTTTCCATTTTAAAAGAAATTGTATAAAATGCATAGATTTTCATCTTTGTTTATCAGTTTAAATACTGAGGTCAAGCTTCAACCAATTACATTCTTGTCTGAATTTTAAGTCTTTTTTTACCCTTCTATAATATTTTTAGTCGGAGCGGAGTAATAATATAAAATTCACTTAAATCAACATACCTTATAAACTCATGAAAATGTTCTCTAACCAGCAATTTTGTTTCCAGTGAAGTTGAACAGGTTTAAGAAGTATAATCCTCCGAGAACTAGAAAGTAAAATGATAATAATAAACATAATAATTGATAATGAAATTAATGATAATGATTATAGTTTATAAAATAATATGAATATTGATAATAATACTGATAATGCTGATACGTAATATAAAACAAAATTATCGTTAATAAATTGAATTGAATATATTTTATACTTTAAACCTTTGACGAAATATCCCGGCTATATAATATAACTATATATTATTTGAGTATGATTTGAACCCAGTGTTACTCGTACTCACGGTAGTTAAAAAGTCTAGCCTGTTTCAGACCCTGGTAACTATTGGCAGCATAGTTTGCATAAGGAGCTACCTGTCTTGGTTGTTGGTATCCAGAGTACCCAGGGTAATAAGCACAGGAAACCAGTGCGATGATACAAGGAAGGATCAGACAAATGGCGATTTTTGTGTTCATTTTGAAGATTGACTCTCACGACTGAAAGAACATAATTTAGAAAAAAACATTAATATTTTCCAGTGGGTATATTATTAATTAAAAAGAAAAACAACAACAAATACAAAAACAAACCAAAAGACAAAAGTTACCGTCACACGAAGAAAAATTACAATAAGATTAAAAAAATATATGCTATAAATGAAAAACAAATTTCAAACATACCTAGAAATATTAAAGTTGAAAGTGAATGATACACGAGTTTTACATGTATTTATATGTAATACATAACTTCCCTATTGAACAGAAGTGGTAGGAAATTATGTTTATAAACCGAAAACATTATAGAATGTCGTCTGGGCAGTAACATTACCGCATTTGAGTATTCAGTAGGTTGTACTGTGATAACCTTAATCTAGACCGCTAATGAAAAATAAAATGTGTAAACAGTATAATCACTTTATCGATGGAAGAGGGTGCATATAAGAATACTAAGATTTTTTAAAAATTTTCTCAACATGTTTTTTTCATATAAAACTTAAGTAACATTGATGGTTTAATGCATTAGCTGTCAAATTTATAAATAAAACACTTTTGTCTTATTTTTGATAAATAAAACATATCAGTAGTTCCTGACCTGTTGTAAGCTGCAATTTAATACCTGACATAACTGTCGCACGCATATTTTCGATTTTTTCTTTAAAATCAGGTTTAACGAACAAATAATTGAAGTGACCAGCAAAATTCATATCAGTGTCAAGTTATTATCTTTATTCGTTATAAACTGTTTACATGTAGTTAAAATAAACTGATTATAATGCTAATGATTAAAAAGACACGGCCTAGATTAATCATAAATTTCAGCAAGGCTTAAAAGAGAGACGAAAGATATCCGAAGGGACATTCAAACTCATAAGTCGAAAATAAACTAACAACGCCATGACTAAAAACGAAAAAGACCAACAGACAAACTGTGTTACAGACAAACAGACAAACAACAGTACACAAAACATAACATAGAAAACCAAAAGACTGAGCAACACGAACTCCACCCAAAACTGGGGGGGGGGGGGATCTCGGGTGCTCCGGAAGAGTAAGCAGATCCTGCTCCACATGTGGCATCCATCGTGTTGCTGATGTAAGTGCAAACCCGGTGATAAGTCTAATTCGGTAGGTCACATTCGGGGAAAAGGGAAGGGATGATAGTAACGATATTTGGAACATATCCGTTGTCATCTGTGACACGGATATTCCGTAACGGTCAACCAACTCGTGATGGCGTCCGTATGAAGCGTTAATATATGTTTTAAAATATAATTTTTTATTTTTTCAAAAAATATTTATTCAATATAAAGTTCTGAGGTATAAGTTTTCGAGCCTTATTATATCAGAAAAAAATCACATCTAAAAGTATTACAATAGCCTAAAATAAATTGACGAGTAATGAATTCATTAACAGATTTTTGATAATCATGGAAAGAGTTCTAAATAATGACTCTCTGTGATTTTTAAAATTGTGGAATTTTTTTGTACAGAAAAGAACACATTTTCATCATACATATTATCTTTGTTAAGAATGAATATTTTATTTAAAAAAAAAAAAAAAAAAATTCAAAGCGTCAATATGTAATTTCCATGAAGGGAATACATCTTTTCTTAAATTTTCCGTTGATAAATTAAGAAAACTAGTGTTTCAACTCCCTCAGGAAGAGTTGTCCTTAGATGAATTTGGCTATTTTAGGTCCATTTTGGTCATACAGATGTTTACGTGGTTAGGTCTTAAAGAAAGTGTATATAAAAAAGCGCTTCAGACGCTCGAAAATAAATAAAGTGTTTTTTTTTTCATCTACTAACACTGATTCGATACACCTGTTGGTGGATTGTAAGTCCCCAAGGGTATTACTAACCCAGTAGTCAGTGCTTCGGTCAAAGTTAACATTTTCAAATATTTTTTCTCAAAATTAAACCACAAAAAAAGAAAACAAGTTGCTTTCTTTAAAAAAAGAAAAGCAATACGTGAACCTAAGACCGCTGACTGGTCACCAAAAGATTGTTGCTGAATTTTTGTTTGCTTTTGAATTGAAATAATTGACTGTGAATATAAGAAGATAATGATGAAGTTAAACTACCTTTATTAAAAATATGTTATAGCGTGTACATTCTTGCACAAGTCAGTTGAAAGTTGAATGCTTAGAATAATCAGTGACGCTCGAATAAAAATAGTTAAAAAGGCCAAATAAAGTACGAAGTCAAGTAATCTATTCCTTGGGTAGAAAATCATTGGCATTTCGAAAATGTCAAATTTTATAAAAGGACAGTGACTCAAAAAAGAAAACAAAAGAGAAACAGTTAGAGGTCAGAATACCATAAGCAATGATGACCGTGCTTGAAAGTCACATGGCAAGGTCTTATTGCCGTGTCCTGAATTTAGATAAGAAAAGCGAAAATTCGCATTAGCGAGTGAAATTAATATTTATGCATGAACGTGGTATTTTGGCGCAAGAGAAATAGTAAATTGAAAGCATACGCACTGATACTCTGGATAAGAATACGAATTTGCGTCATCGCATATATTATTCTAAAAGTTGAATTCTGATGTCAAACTACCTACCTCAAGTGTTTTGACTCCGGATTCATTGACATTTTATCCGGAATTTTTGTGAACGCAAACCGATAGTGTGCGTGTGAACAGGGTGATGTATAATGTGAATGAATCAAGACGTGTAGGATAGCTGACCAACACAATGAATACAACTTTCAAAACCGTGTCATAGTACAAATATTTAGATGCTATAATGTTGAACCAATAAAAGAAAAAAATTATGATAGTAATTAAATGTTGTTATGATTATTGTAAAATATTGATTACGTTTTTTGCTAGATGCAAGGATTTGAAATCCTTGTGAATTTAAACCACGCAAGTATTTTTTCATTCACGACCGTTTAAAGTTTAGATATTTAGCTAACTTTGAGTACGCATCCCTGCTCGTTGGTGCTCATACGTTACATATAATTTTCATAAATGTAATGACTGATCAAACCTGTGAGACATAATGCACGTATACATTACAATTTTAATTATATTCTATAACTATTTGGAATAAATTCAGTCTCAGTTTTACCTTAACAATGAATATTCTCTTAGTCTGGTAGTATCTATTAATGAAATTAGATATTTTGTTACAGAAAAATCCTTTTGTTTGATTATCTTGACCACTGTGTTTCCGACCTTAGATAAATAATTTTAACAGAAATATCGTTTTCTTAACTTTCTTCTTTCTTTCCGACATTTTCTCATGCTATGATTGAAATGCTAAATATCAAATGATAAACGTTCAGAAAAAATCAGTTTATTATGGATCATTGTATATCAATAAACTATTCCCAGGTTTATTAAATAAAACACACACAACGCGTAAAGGGACCGTCTCAAAGCATGAATTATATAACTGCGTTATCATTATACTTGATATTTAATAAACACTCACATTATTTTGTCAAAAGGCAAATAGGTTCTAACATATAAATGATTTTTAGAATGCAACCTAGTCTTTATTGTTTTACTTTCAAATCTACAAATGAACCGTTTGCCGGATTGTTGAAATATACATTGTCACGTTGTAGCCTATCCACAGCGGAACCGTATCAAAGACATAAATAACTACCTGTATAAATGATGGAAAATTTTCGAGACGTTCCGAGAATCGTGATTCCGAGGATAGCGAGTGACCCATAGACACTTCCAAAACTCGCCAATATATAAGCGTGAACCCCTCAGTGGGTTCACGCAATTAGTGGTTTAAGTGATGTAGTGACTGAATTTTTAGTGTGGGGAAGCATGGTATAATTACTAGTTGAAATAGGGGGTAGGACTAGCTTTCGGTAATTGCGAGTACTCTAAGGTAAGTACTTAATGTTTTTCGTTTTCTGTTTTTGTGCTTAGTACCAACCTGATCAGTAAAGCTTTTTCCAACTGAGTTTTAGTATTTGTTCTTATTTGTTGTTCTGTTCACTGTCCCAGGTTAGGGTTAGAATTGGGCGTTCATAAGCATATTTCAGACTTTCACAAGACTATTTATGATGCCTTTAAGTAAATCCGTTGATGTGTACTGATTGATATTTCAGTCTGGGAAGTCATGGTTTATCTATTGGTTGAAATTTGCTTAGACTACAGCTGCGTCAATCTTACCTATCTTTGGAACTGTCAGAATAATCTGTCATAGAACTGTTCTCTCAGTTTAAGGATAGGTTTAGCTTAAAACTGTTCTAGAATAGAACTTTCAGAACTATATTTTTTAAAACTATAAATTGGCGAATTAGTGCTCTTTCCAAACAATACTAGAGGCAACGATTGAAAAACAAAAGTATAACTAGAGTATGTATCATAAAGTAAGGAAAGCTAAAACAAAAAATTAAAAAAAAGAACAAAGGGAAAAGAGAAAGGAAGAACTAAAGGACAATGCCAGCCTTGATCGCTCATTAACTTATATGACTGTAAAAATATTTAGTGAGAAATGACACCAATAAATTGAATTCCTGCAGACGGAATCATACTTTCACGTAAAAATCTATATTTCTGATGAAATTTAGAAAAAAATATATTGACCAGTTGATTACACCTACGTTTTTGGATTTTGGTGGATAGTTGTCTCATTGGCAATAATACTACCTTGTTTTTATGGTTTAATAACTATACTCTTTCAATAATTCACAATATGTAAGTTAAAATCTATGTTTTAACGTGATAAATCACAACATAGCAGTCACCAAAACAAAAAACATATCTTACGACTCAATATCCTGATTCTGAACAGACTGAATCCTTAATGGCATTATGCCGCATGCTCGGCGGAGAAGCAGCAAATACCTTTTTTTTTAATTTCCGGAGATCGAACCAATGACATCCTGTACTCGAGATGAGCAAGTTACCATGAGATTACTAATAACTGAAGGCTGATAACAGTATACATATCACTGAAATACAAACATAACAATACTTTCTACATTTGGTGCGTTCAAACATTTTTTTTTGGATTTACCTTCATCATGAATGTTCAAACCCCACAATTTGAAAGCCAAAGATGTTTAACTACTTAATAATGTGAGGAGCTATATGTCAAAAAAACTTAAAAATTATAACTAAATCCACCCAAGTTCATCTTTCCCTGAGGGAATTGGAATCCATTTCTTTTTAATTACTAGATCTAAAACGGAGAATTTAAGAAAGATATGTTGTATATATATATATATATAAACAAGTCTAAATTCAAAACAACGTTCAAACCTATGATTGCGTTGGATAAAAACCGCAATTTTTATACGTGTGCATGCAAAACAAATTTCTTGGTAGAGGGGTCTAAATACAGCACAAACAACATTTTCCAAAAGACCAAAAACAGTGAAAAAGTATATTTTAATAAAACGCATTTGACTAGCAGGTCGAACAACTGATGTTCTTAAACCCTGCTGACTGCCATTGGCGATTGCCAAATAAACGGATCACCAGATGTAACAAAATGGATCTTATGTTTTATATATATATATATATAAAATGACTGAATAATAGCCAACGAAAAATCTTACGGGGCGATGGATCATATAAATATGATACAGTACACTACAAAATGTAATATATAACCAGTCTAAAAGGGTACAACATCACCAAAAAATGACAATAAACGAACAAATGTAACTATAAATATTTCGGATAACAGATATCCTTCATCAGTATGAGCACGATGTAAAATGAATCAGATCAATCTATTCTGATTATTAAACTATAGCAATCTTGAATTCTATATAATAAAAAAAATGAAACAGTTTCACCCGAACATCATATGTAGAGACGCTAATAAATTTTTAAAATTTCCAAAAAACGACTCAAAGACATGCCTAAAATGAAAATAGTAATTAGAGATATGAATTGGCATAACTTTAAAATTCCAAAATGACGTCAGTTAAGATGTTACAACAACTGCGTGTAAATACATTCCCCAAAAAACAGCACTGATCGATATAAGCTGGTAAAATATGTCAAACAAAGGCTGCGTATTTATCATCCCAAATAAATAGCAGTTTTATAATGAAAAGAAAAAATAATAAAATTTGGGCTAAGGTTAAATAATTAAATAAAAATAATTATTTGCCTCCGGGTTTATATGATCCGTTCATCCTATTTTGACTCCTCAAAATTCAAGAGTCTATTCTAAATTGAGGTAAATTGTTTGGCTTTCCAAATACCGTTTCGATTCCTAATATCACTGAAGAGACATTAATTGTCGAAATCCGGATATGGTGTACAAAAAACTTTGCAACTTTTGTTTGCGGTATACCATCTTTTCCGCAAGTTTATTGTTTTCTGTTTAGTATCGGTGATCCGTTTATTTGGCAATCGCCAATAGCAGTCAGCAGGGTTTAAGAACATTTGTTGTTCGACCTGTTAGTCAAATGCGTTTTGTTAAAATATACTTTTTCACTTTTTTGGTCTTTTGGAAAATGTTGTTTGTGCTGTATTTAGACTCCTCTAACAAGAAATTTGTTTTGCATGCACACATATAAAAATTGCGGTTTTTATCCAACGCAATCATAGGTTTGAACGTTGTTTTCAATTTAGACTTGGTTGTATATATATATATATATATATATAAACGCCTAAAAAGTGTACACAACAACACCTAGGATTTAGACTTAAATCCTGAAAATTATGTCCAGGCATTAATGTTAATGCCTAAACTGAAAATGGGAGAAAATAAAAAGAAATTTATTCGAAGTTAAAATACAGTTTGTACATAATCAAATAAAAAGAACAGACGTTTGAATATCAATTATATGAAATAAAATCATAAGTAAAATATTGATGTTAAAAATCATTGAATAAATCTCTTAAAATATATGTAAACTTGTTGGATAGTTGTCTCATCTGCAATCGTACTACATTTTCTTTTTTTATATTGATAGAAACTATGGTATTGAAATTTATTTGTCACCAATTGGCGAAGCTATGGTACACACTATTTTCAAGTTTAATTTTTTTCTGTTAATTCTTTGTTCTTCATCCATGTAGTTAGCATGTCATGAATATTTCCGTTTGACCACTCAGTACTACCCTGTGATAGATGTATTGACTTCCAGTGAACAACAACTAGTTCTGGCCACATAAGAATTAATTCAGATAACCTTAGCTGTAAATGCACGACCTTTGTCACGCCAAATATTGTGAAAACATGAACTAAATTAGAAGCCACCTTTGAAGCACTTTTTGACGTAAGAGCTGTAGTAATATAAATTATGTTTAAGGTGATCTTGGTACACCATAAGAAAATATAGTTTCCATTTTACTTTGATTGGAAATCGATTAAATTAACCCGTCCTGTTCTGTAAAACTGTTTGGATAAAACGGGTTTTACTACTACTCCCTTCCCATGCTACAATTTCCACAAAATGGAAATAAAAGTACAATGGAATCATGGAAAATGTTTACAAAGACATTATTAGGTTGTTTAATTCTACGGTCTATAATAATTCTACGGTCTATAATATTAATAGGCCGCTTTGGCATATTTCTATGTGATTTTTTTCCCAATATACAATACAGTTTCTCTAGTTCATGTTTGTAATATTTGTTTTTCGTAAAGTGATTTGTTATAAATTAGGCCGTTAGTTTTCTCAATTGAATTGAATTGAGCCTTTTAAAGCCGACCATACGGTATGGGTTTTCTCATTGCTGAATGCCGTACGGTTGCCTATAATTGCTTACATCCACTTCATTTGAACTTTGGTGGATGTCTCATGTCAATCATACCACATCTCTTTATTTTTTATTTCCGTGATCATTCTCTTTTACTTTAGCTACCAGTCTTTCAAACCTCCAATGGTAAAAAATATCATACCATTTTAAATTGTAATAGTCTATTATAGTTGCCTTATTTTCTGTTTTTGAAAGTTTAATCTTTGCCAAATGGTCATTGTACTTTTGCTTTAGATATATGATCTTTGTTTTCCCTGATTCAAATTTATATTCCGGAAAGACTCAAGAAATTTGTTGTTGCTTAAATGCTAATAATCTAGATTAAGAAGTGAAACTCAACCATTGAAGAAAAATATCACAAAGAAATACGAGTAATTTTGTTTTGAATACGAAACAATACTAAATATTGAAGTTCTCTTAAATAAGTTTATATTAATTTTTGAAATGTAATTTAAGATAGTATTTATCAAGAATATTTCAACGCCTGTACATGTATTTGGAAGATAAGCAAAAATCCCAAAGTTCACTTATTGCCTGAAATGATGTTTGGCAATAGGTTGAATAATCATCGTCAGATTTCAGGAAATAAGCTTAATGCCTGGAAATTTCAGGCAATAACTTAATGCCTAGGATTTAAGCTTAATGCCTAATTTCACTTATTGCCGCTAACATATATTCATATATCTTTATTTCTCAATAAATCATTTACATTGGAATGGTACAGAGAACACATAATATTAATAACAAATCAACAAATCAACAAATCAACATGTATGAGAGAGATGTCAGCCCGGATCACACAACCCTTAATTAACAATTTTAATAAATTTGCAGAGTTTCGAAAGTATCGATTTTCTTTTGCAGGTCATAAGATTACTAAATTTAAGTCAGGAATATGACAGTTGTTATCCATTCGTTTGATGTGTTTGAGCTTTTGATTTTGTCATTTTCTTAGGGACTTTCCGTTTAGAATTTTCCTCGGAGTTCGGTATTTTTGTGATTATTGATTTTTTTGTACAGAAGCACTGACTACTGAGCTGATGATATCACCGATAACTAGCATTCCATCTGAAGCGTTATCGACCCAGCGCTAAAAAATGAAAACAACATTTTATAAATTTGTTGCATTCGAAGCTACTTGCAAAATGCGAGGAACTATTTGACCAAAAGGGAATGGTAATCTGTTAAATATATTTTTTTCATCCTTCTGGGTACTCCTATTTTTTCCTAACGCTGTTTTCTAAATTCGTTGTATGCAAACGGCTGATTTTATTGGTACGTACATCTGTCAATTACTTTTGATTTGTCTTAATTGTGAATTGTCTTTGGATTTCAATTTCTTGTTTATTTGGTTACGGATCTGCTATTTTTTTTTATATCTTATGGGTTCGCCCATCTGTTATGTTATCATATAATTCTGAATTAATACGTGTTTAAGTGTAATACAATATGGTTCGTCACTACTTATATATGTCTTTGAATAACTGAAATCAACTTGTGGATTCGTAACTGATTACGCTTATGTGCGAATTCGTTAAGACCTTTTAATGGTGGTTTTAATGCAATTTTGTTTCATTGAGAAACGTTTTTATGCGCTGTTAACGTTACTACTAAAATTAACATGAAGTAAAAAGGGTTTTTTAAATATCCCTTTTTTTTAAAGTAATTGCGAAAATAATGAAAATGAATTTAATGTGGATTTAAATAACAAATCTTCAGCTTTTTAGTAACTGACTTATTTACATCGAGGACGTTGATTTTATTCGTAAGGTCGACCTGGCACAAAAATGTAACAGAAATATTGGTAGAGACAAATCTTTTATTTACATTTGTAAAACATTTTACATCAACAATGTTTAAGTAGTGCCTAAACAAACAAGACATTAATCTACAGACAACTTCGATCTGGGTAATACGATCTTTGAAAAAAATGTTCACCAGGACTGAAGTGTTTGCACATGGTATTTTGTTAACAACTGAATTGACACGATGCTATAAGGTATTCTGATCTAATGTAAGATGTTCGACACTATGGCATATATCTTTACTATGACTGTACAGCATACTGCTTGCTAACCTAAAATAAAGAGTAAAAGGTTCGAAACAAATTAAGTGAGTTGAATAAACATTTTATCAATTTCTGCAAATTATACACCAGTATTGTAAGTTAGTATTGAATTATTTTGTTAGTGAGTGGTGTAATTTTTTCACTTGTAACTGAATGTACATTTCAAACTTTTAGTACAAAGGATATTTACAGGAACGATCTCTTTAGCAGTAAACAAATAAAATGTATAAGAAAATACTATTTAAAATATATTTATAATTTGTAGCAGCATTTAGGTCACAAGAATTTAAGCATAACGTGACAAAAGGTAGTTCTTTTTAATTTTAACGAACATTATTTAGAATACATACTTTTCATCTTTGTTTATCATTATAACCACTGAGGCCAAGCTTCAACCAATTATATTCTAGTCTGAATTTTAAGTGTTTTCTTTACCATCCTATAACATTTTTATTCGGAGCGGAATAATAATATAAAATTCAAATTAATCCACTTACCTTATAAAAGCTCATGAAAATTTTCTCTAACCAGCAATTCTGTTTCCAGTGAAGTTGAAGAGGTTTAAGAAGTATAATCCTCCGAGAACTAGAATATATAATGATAATAATAAACATAATAATCGATAATGAAATTAATGATAATGATTATAATTTCGATAATAATATAAATATTGATGATAATACTAATAATTCGAAGACGTCATATGAAACAAAATGATCGCAAATACATTAAATTGAATATTTTTTTTACAGCAATTCGGTTTCTAGTGAAGTTAAAGAGGTTTAAGAAGAAAAAACCCACTGAGGACTAGAAAATAAATAATAATTGATAATGAAATTAATGATACTGATACTAATTTCGACCATAGTATTAATTTTAATAATAAAAATAATTTTGATACGCCATATTAAATAAAATTATCGTGACATAAATTAAATAGAATAGACTTCATACTTCACATATTTGTCAAAACATCCCGGCTGTATAAGATATATATATGTAATTTTAACAATAGTAGTATATCAAAATAAGGAAAATACTTAAAAATTGCTGTATTCCCCATTTTTTTTTATAAAGGTGGAATGCGACAATCCTTCTACATAACAAATTTGCGTACGTGAATATTTTGTTATATCCTACAGTTCAAGTAATATTTATTTTTTGAAAATGATTTGAACCCAGCGTTAGATGTACTCACGATAGTTGAAGAGTCTAGCCTGTTTTAGACCCTGGTAACTATTGGCAGCATAGTTTGCATAAGGAGCCACCTGTCTTGGTTGTTGGTATCCATAGTTACCAGGTAAATAAGCACAGGAAACCAGTGCGATGATACAGGGAAGGATCAGACAAATGGCGACTTTTGTGTTCATTTTGAAGATTGACTCTCACGACTGAAAAAAATATAAATTAGAAAATGCATGTTAATGGTTATTTTGTTAATAATAATAATAAAAAAAAAACAAATACAAAAACATAACATCAGTAAAATAACAAAAACTAAACTAAAACAAATCAAAGGATTAAAGTCTAAACTCAAAAGAAAATTTATAAAAATATTTTATCAAAATGTACTATAAAAGAAACAGCTTCCAAACATACCTAGACAGATTAAAGTTGAAAGTGAATATACCAGGAGTTTTACACGTATTTATATGTATTAAATAACTTCCCTTTTGAATAGAAGTGGTAACAAATCATGTTTACATTATAAAATGTCGTCTGGACTATATTATAACATTACCGCATTTGAGTATTCAGTAGGTTCTTCTGTGATAACTATAAACTACCTCTGATGTTAATAAATATATGTGTAAACAGTATTATCCATTTAACGATGGAAGAGGGTGTATACAAGAATACGAAAGTACTAGTTTTTTTTAATTGTCTCTACACAATATTTTTTATATAACAATTATGTAACATTAAGCTGTTACAAAATATTAATTTATTTTGATATTATAACAAAAATCTCAGTAGTTCATAACATGTCGTTTTGGGTTCAAATTAACCAGCAAAATAAGCTGCAACTTCATACCTGACATAACTGAACTTGGTACTAGACAGTTTACATATGACAAGAACATTTGTAACAGTTATGTATATCAACCTGTACAATATAAAACACACGCATATTGTCGAAATTTTCTTCTAAATTAGGTTTACCGAACAAATATTTTTAGTAAGCAGTCAAATGTATATCAGTGTCAAATTAATATTTCTATTCGTTATAAAGTATTCACATGTAGCTAAATAAACTAATTTTAATTGCAATGCTTAAAACAGTATGGCCTAACTTAATCATAAATATTAGCAATAACTGCTACTTGCAAATATTTTGAAAACGATTAAATATATGTATTTGAATAGACAACTTTTATTTACCCTTGAAACGTAACATCAAAAGATATACTTTGAAGACATTTTTCTGAGATATAAGTTTTCAAGTCTAAATATATAAGAAAAAAAAACATTACTTACTAAAAGTATTGCAACAGCCCAAAATAAACTGACGATTAATAAATTCGCTATCAGATGTTTCATAACCATAGAAAAAGGTATAAATCGTGACTTTCTATAATTTTTAATGACAGTGAAAGATTTTTGTGACATGAAAATTATCCTTGTTGGCAATGCTATTTTTTTTTTATTTCAAACTAAAGAAAAATTATTCGTTCAAAGCGTCAATATATAATTTACATAAAATCAGTAGTCGATGCTTCTGAACTGTAATGATTTTTCAACAAACTTTTCCTAAAGTCTCCGTTGATAAATTAAGAAATTATTAAGAAGTTAGATTCCATTTTCCTGTTGACAATGTTGACCTTAAATGAAAACGGCTATTTGAGCTAGGTCCCTTCTGGTCATATAGCTTTTCACGTGGCTAGATCTTATCAGTGGCTTTCAAATGTTGGGATTTGAGAGTGCCTAATGGAGGTGTTTCAAAAAAGCGCTTTGGACACACGAAATTAATAAATTGTTTTTTTTTATTTACCGGCACTGGGTCGATATCACTGCTAGAGGACTGTTAGTCCTCGGGGAACAGTCCTCGGGGACATCCCCAACGCAGTGTTCAGTCCTTTAATCAAAGTTAACATTTGAACATACTATTTTCTTAAAGTTTCATCACAAATGAGAAAAATAGTAGTTTTTGTAGTGTAGTGGTTGGTATCTTATTCTAGGAAGCATGCTTTGGTTGAAATTGTTTTTCAGTAATTGCGAGGTACATTTTGTACTTCGTCATATGGTAGTTGTTTAATCTGACGAGTAAAGCCTTTTCCAACTAATTTTTAATGTTTTTTTTCTTATTTGTTGTGCTGTTATACCACTATCCCAAGTTAGGGGGAGGATTGATCTTTTATTAACATAACTCAGGATTGTACCAGAGGAGGGACGACAGCCTTAGGTGCTGTGTGCAAATTTTTGTAGGTCACGTGGTACGATTTTAGCGTCCCTCGACAATTTTGAATCTGGAAAAGATCGATTTGTTCATGTTTTTGTATCAAATATACTCTCTTGCACTCGCCGAAAATACAGAAAGTTTTGAAATAAAAAGATTAATCAATGATAGAAGATCAATATGAATTATTTTCTTTATGTTTTTTTTTATCTTTTAGAGTAAATTCTATCAATAAAGAAATGCACTGTAATGGCGGGAAATTTTATTTGATCTCTGCGAAATCACGAGGCACAGAGTTTTGTAAATTTTACAAATGTCAGCACGTGAAAATCTTTCAAATTTATGTCAATCAAAGAACACTATTCGAACTATCTAAATCTTCTTAAGTCTCCTTAAGTCTCCAGCCGTTGCTTCGTAATAAGTCGCTTAAATATGATTTCCGGGAAGTAAAATATCCAAAATATTTGTCAAATCCGCGAGTAATTATGTTATTTTAGGCATATAAACTCTTATGTATTTTTAATTATTTTGAAAACAAAATGAAAATTTTGTCTTATGAATTACCATCATGAAAAAATATAGTTTTTTTTCATAATTGAATCGTGCATTATTTGTGTATTGGATTGCTTAATTGCCTTCTCTCTAGTGTTATCTCTGGGTTTTTTTACTGACAAATGACGAAATAATACAATATTCAAAATTTAGTATTTTACAAAACTTTGTCCCGATTAAAAACTTAAAACCGACTGAATAAATTGAGAATTCAGTGATTATCGATGTCGAAATTAGCCCTTGGTAATAACATAGATATAAAAGGCTATTATATCTATGGTAATAAACAGTCAGTTTGGGTATAAATATGTTTATTGCCAAGAAATAACTAACAAATTTGTTTATTATGTATGTACAAAGTATATGTATATTGCATGATCAGCCCTTTTGCATATTACTTGGTTTTTTTTAATTGATTCAACAAATTTCGCTTGTCCAGGTGTCATTAACGGTGATGTCCACACCACGAGTAGTTTATTATAAATGACACAATATCACCGCGACCGATCGATAATATAAGACAAATCTGCGTGCCGTGTGCAGAGTGTCGTCCCTCCTCTAGGATTGTACAAGACTAGTAATGACGTATTAAAGGTTAATCCGTTGGATGTATACTGATTGATATTTTATTCTGGGAAGACATCTTTTATTTATAAGTTGAATATACTTTGACTACAGCCGTGGTCAGTTCTAACCTATCTTTGAAATTGTCAGAATAAGCTGTCGTAGAAATGATCCAGCAGTGCTAGAATACTTCTACCCTGCATCTGTTTTAGAGTAGAACTCTCAGAACCAGTTCTATGGTAGAACTGTCATTAATTGTTCTAAGGTATAGAATTGTCAGGACGAGTTCTTAGTAGAATCTCCAGACTTTATACTGAGGCAGAACAGTCCAAAATGACGTAAATAAAAAACATCCTTTTGGTCGTGATTTAGGACAGAGGCATATATCTGGATTATCGCAGTAAGTTATATTTGAATAAATAGCATTTTAAAGTAAACTAATAACAGTCTTTGTGGTATGTTTCAGTTTTGTTTTTTCTCTATCTTTATAATTTTTTCTGTCACTAATTTAATTTTTTTTATTTGTATGTAATAACGCTTTAGTAGTGAGGAAATATACTTCTTATAACACAGTGACGATGTAATTTTTTCGGTGAGTCTTTTTATACTTAAGATTACATGGCATTATAAGATCATATGTAACGATACATGTGTAGTATCATCTCGTAAATGTCACTATGAACTTGAATAAAAACAAATAATAAAAACAAAACAAATATAACAATTTAAAAAGAAATGAACAAAAGTTATTAAAATTATTATGAAAAGTAACACCGATATTCAAGAATTTGTTTGAAATGATATAGATACAAAAAAAGATAAAAATAAAAAGAAGATAAAGTTTAAAAGAAAAATGAAGTGAATGAAATAAATTGAATTAATAAAATAAATTAATTGAAATAAAAAAAAAACAGTTTTATAAATAGATAAATCAGTTCCACAACTATTCTAGAGGTAGAACTACCTGGATCTGTTCTGTGGTACAACTGTTAGAATCAATGCTAGAATAGATCTGTCTTAAACTATTCTGGTTTAGAAATGTCAGAATCTATTCAAAGTTAGAACTGTCATAATCTGTTCTCGGATGAAACCACTTATGTAAGACACTGTTCAGAAGGTTTCAGAGAAATGTTCTACAGTGTTGTAGAGCAGTTCACTGACAGTTTCAGAAAGATTCATATTAAATCGATACTTTGTGTCTTTTGTATTTTTTTACTTCTCGTACCGATCTGACGAGTCAATTCCTTTCCAATGGACTTTTATAGATTGTTCTCATGTTGTACTGTTATACCATAGTCCCAGATTACAATCTGTATGTACATAATCTGCAATTCGTTGGTTGTCGTTAGTTGCTGTTTGCTATATTTGTTTTTCGCTGATTGGTTATATGATGAATCATGCCGTTGGTTTTCTCTTTTGAATTGCTTCGCATTTTGTCTTACCAAGACCTATTATAGATGAGAGGCGAAAGACACCAAAAGGACATTTAAACTCATAAGTCGAAAATAAACTGGCAACGCCATGATAAAAAACGAAAAAGAACAAAAAACAAACAACAGTATACAAAACACAAGACTGAGCACCAAACACCGGGGGTGATCTCATGTTCTGCGGAAGGATTCTCATCAATGAGAAATGCCAATACCGTATAGTAAGCAATACAAGTCAAGTTTAAAACATAAACTGATGCAATCGCACAAAATTTAAAAGGAGCGTGAACGGATTGGTCGACAGGTTTTGTGTTTTTTACTATGCATGCATATTCCGCCATGCGAATGTCAAAATGATATAATCGGCAATAGGACACAATTGATCAATTTTTATATCAGAAGACTATTCTGGTATGTAAAGATCTTAGATCGCGATAACATGTCGCTAGTGAGTTGAGAGAAAGACACATCGAGTCGGTCAACCAAATCGTAATGGTGACCGGAAATCAAGGCAACAGTAGTTTATCGATGTTCAAATCTTATAAATCGACAACGAAGACAAATCAAGGTAAACAAACCAAAACTTTTTACATTTTTAATCTTTGTGATGAAATAAAAGATCGTAGCCAGTCTTAATTATACTCATCATAGATACGAGGTTTAATATTTTGTACGCCAGAAGCGCGTTTCGACTACAAAAGACTCACCAGTGACGCTCGAATCAAAAAAATTAAAAAAGTACGAAGCTGAAGATTACTTGACCAGAAATTTCAAAAAGTTTTTTCCAAATAAATCTATGGTAATTTATTCATAGGTTAGAAATCCTTAGTATTTCGGAAAAAAAACAAGTTTTGTAAACAGTTTGTAGGTTTTTTTTTGTTTACAGAAAGAACGAAGAAGCATGCACACGTGGTTTTAGAAAAAAAATCACATTTCCTAAAGCTTTTTTTATTTCTTCGATGTTTGTATACATCTTTTCAGATTGTCTGCATGCATCTGATTTGTCTCATTGTACTCTTGGTTTCTAAATAACATTGTTGGTTCAGGTATCCTTAACCAGTGATTTATAAAAACCTGCGTCAAGTTAGGTTGATGTTCTCTATTTTAATTCAAATACAGTAGTGTTCTGTACTACTTAAAGATGTACTCTATTTGGAAATAAAGATAGATAAACACCCCCATAGTAGTAGATCTTTGAATTGTATATTCATATTTTATTATGTACCATATATTACAAACTACATCTTTCGGACGGTCAAAAGATTTATGTTACTTGTCTCTAAAACTCAGTTTTCTTTTTTGCAGACCTATTTTCATGTTAGGGATGTTCTTTGTTGTGTGTATGACCCGACAATTGTTCGTTCAAAGTTCACTTTTAGGATTTTGTATATTTTTGTAGATCATGCTTTTTATCATCATTCCGAGTCGTCATTGGTTTTTAATAATTCAATAATTCATTGTATAGTACACTATTGGTCTTCTTGCTCTTCTCATTATTTTTTGTATATTTTAATTCAAACTAGAAAACACTCGTGGAATCAAAGGCACATAAAAAGTACTATTTTTTTTTATTTACAAAATTGGCATTAACAACTGATAAAATATGTTACTGGTATTGTTACATAGATATGATGAACGGTTTTGATAAAGTGTTATTGTTTTATTTCGTTTAACGTTGGCGCAACCTATGCTTCTTTCCTCATTTGTCTTGCTTATCATGAGTAGCAAGATTGGTATGATAATGCAGTAAAAGTAATTTACGACATCAGACAAAATGCTTTAAAAACGTTAGAACAAATATTGTCGTAAATTGTTGTTTTGGTTCCTTCCTTGTAATTTTAAACAAGTTTATTTTATGAAAGCTAGTTATGGTGCATTGATGATATATTGGTTTTTAAGTTGTATTTTTTTTTCATTTAGGTACGTTGTAATGTTATCAATGATGCTTATAAATTTGTTGTCCAATTTTAATGGTATCCATGTACGCTGTAAAGCGATATCGTTTGGACTTTGTTGTTGTTGTTTTTTAGTTTCCAATTTAAATGTAGTTTGTTGTTTTGTTGATATTTTAAATGTCGTCAAGGCATTCACTTATTGAAAACGAGAACGTTATTTTTTTCCTACGGTTTTCTGTTTTGTATAACCAAGAACAGTGACACCTGTATATAAAGGTCACCGTCGGGACCAAGGAAAATTGGACTTACACCAGGATTACCTTATAATTGTGGTTCAAAATACTACAACAGCGGGACAAGAAGAGGATGACCTGACGAGAAAGGCGTCCTCTTAAAAGAGTGTCCTTTGGCGTTCTCTTTAAAGAGGTGTCCTTTAAAGCGTGTTTGACTATACTCTAATAACAGAAAGGTTGGTTATTCAAATCAAAAGTAGATCATTTTGCGTTCTAAATGCTGAACTACAGTCGAAACAAACAAGAACATAAAGTACAGACAATTTTTAATATGGATAAAAAATCTTTGAAATGATAGATGTTCACCAATACTGAAGTGTTCTGTTTCTGATTCAATTGAGATTATGCTATGATGGTTGCATAAATCCGTCTAATCTGATGTAAGATGTCCAACATAATGACACACGTTTTTTTTGTCTATGAATGAACAAGGTTCTGCATGTCAACCTGTATTTAAAAAAGAAACAAAAAATTTAAATATAGTGTTAGCCATCAATAAGAATGCTGTATATACTGTTGCATACGTGTAAGCTATATAGCTATATAATTCAATTAATTGATAACATTTTTTTACAATATATCTGTCAATATATTAGTGTCAGCACAAAGTATATATCACCATTAAATCATTTTGCCAGTGAATTGTGTCATTTTTCACAGATAACTGGCATGTACATTTCAGATTATTATATTTACAGGAACGATCTCTTATACAGTGAAAAATAGATTTCACATAAACATTTAATTCATTACAGCTTTTTAATATAACATTTTCTACTAGATATAAATATCATTCAATTCATTTTTTTTTAATATATTTAAATGCTTTTAATTTCAGGACGCAGGAGGCGAATAAGGCCTCTGCAAACAACCCCTTCTGTAAAATTTTAATTCGAAGCGTAATATACAAAATACAAATATATCAACTGACCTCGTATGCCCATAAAAATGTTCTCTAACCAGCAATTCTGTTTCCAGTAACGTTGAATAGGTTTAAGAAGAATAATCCTCCGAGAACTATAAAATCAAATACAAAATACTACTATTACCACTATTTATAATAATATTTGTAATAATTTTAATTATTATTATAGAAATACGAATAGAAATAATAATAATGCTATTAATTATAATTCTGAGATGCCATTTTAAAATTAATAATTTTACATTAATACATTTATACCAGTATTGAAAAAAAACTTCTCACTTGTATACATTTGACATATCAATTTTCCGTATAAAAATCTCATCTATGAAATGTGTTGACAACAAACCAAATGTTAAGCTTTTAAATAATATGCGAATACATTTTATGCGTAAGGCATATGCCTTATATAAATACGACTTCACTTGTGATATGCTACAGCCCAAACACCTTTTAGTGTTCATATAATTCATGAACCTAGTACTAGCTATACTCACGGTAGTTAAAGAGTCTAGCCTGTTTCAGAGACTGGTAACTATTGGCAGCATAGTTTGCATAGGGAGCCACCTGTCTTGGTTGTTGGTATCCAGAGTATCCAGGATAATAAGCACAGGAAACCAATGCAATGATGCAGGGAAGGATCAGACAAATGGCTACTTTTGTGTTCATTTTTATATTTGACTTTCTTGTCTGAAAGAATATATTGTAGAAAGTAAAAAATATATTTCATAATGTATTTGATAATAAAAATATTATTTGAGGTGACAATGTTATTACACAGACACACAACTATTTGCGATAATTGGCCCTTTCTCCCAAGAAAAATGTATAATGATAAATAATAAAATAATGGAAAATTAGTCAGTAGTCGAAAATATGCATGTAATAATGATATGGAAAGTACATGAATGTCACTGGATTTTATTCCTACCTACCCAAATATTTACCATTCCTTTAAAAATTGTTAAACAGTTGCTTGTCTTTACCCCCGCCCCTCCCCCCTAAAAAAAAGAATATTAAATTCAAACCGTATTTAAAAAAAACATATATACTACGATAGGAACAATTTCCAAACTTACCTAGAAGATTTGAAATTGAAAGTGGATAGCAAACAAGGTTTACATGCATTTATATGTAACATAACTTCCTTATTTAGCAGTAGTGGTCAGAAGTTATGTCTATACACCGGCAACATTATGAAATGTCGTCTGGACGAATACATTCTACAAAACAGGTTGTTCTATGAAAATTATACACTACCAGTTATGTAAAATAAAACGTTTGAAGTACAACTACTTGAATGATAGCTGGGCATAAATTAAAGAGTAATGCAATTTTTTCATCAGGATTCTCTCTGCGCAATTTGTTTTAAAAATATAACACAAATGTTACATTTATTGTCAAAAGGAAAAGCTGTCAAATTTATAAAAACAAATATAAGAAGTCTATTTCAAATACTAACAAAAAATCACAGTAGTTCTTACCTTAATTTTTCGGGTTCAAATAAACCAGCCTAAACAAGATAAAATTTTCAGTTAAAATAATTTAAAAAAAATGTTCATCTAACTAAATATGTGTATCAAGGTGTACACTATATATCTAACGCATAATTCAAATGTTTTTTTTTCTTTAAAAAAATTAGTTACAAAGCAGATGCATATAATTGTCAAATTATCATTTTTCATTTGTAAAACTGTTGGACTGCAAATGACGATTCTTCAAAAAAAAAGATTTTTTTATTTTATTGAAATTTGCTGTTATAGAACTTTTAAATTAAGGTATGCATCTCCCTCATGCATTGCTCTGATTTCTTCGCCGGGTTTGTATTAAATTTTGTCATTTTCGGTTATATTTACTCTTCAACGTGTGTATTATGCTTGTATTGTGCTTTGAATTTTCATCATTCTGGCTTGGCCATCACTAAAGAGACAAAAGTCGAACTGCGCATTTGGTGAAGTTCAATTGGAATGTTATTAAGAAGTTTCAATAACAATATCAAAGGATATGTGTTTTCATATAGACATTTTTATGTAATAGATTGTTATTGTTGATTTTATTTTAAACGGAGGCCCTGTGTAATATCGTAAGAAATTATTATTGGGTTATGCCGCTTTGTAAATCAAAGTTTAACAACCTTTCAATTTGTAAATGAAATGTTTAAACGTAGACCAGGCTCGATAATCTACTTTTAGTTGATATTTCATTGAACTGATTCCTTCATTCATTTGTCCAATAAAAACGTTAATAGCTAGGCCATTTTTAAGTGTACGCCCGAATCTCATCGAGGGGTTCGAGGTCCCCTAAGCTGGTCCAGGGCAGGAGACGTTCTGGTAGGTCGCGAAACCCCCCGGAAGTTCACGCGTTATTGAGAAAAGATACCAATATCTGTCATTGAAAACTCATATCAATAGCAACATACTTGATCGGATATCAGAACAAAACTTTACGATAAAAGAGATGATTTCAGCTTCCAATTGTGAACTTTTCTTTCTATGTAGCAACATTCCAGCAGCACCTGCATATGGATTATAAACCTCCCAGTTGATAAGACATTCCAGAGCTTGCATTTCATATCATTATTTCCTTGATAGATGGTTGCTGCTTAGAAGGAAGCTACTGAACCAAGTGAAGAGTTCCAAGTGGTGAAGTTGAAATCATCCCTTCGAAAATTTTACGGTCGACATCACGAGTAGGTTGACCGTTATGGAATATCTGTTTCACTGATTGCTAATGACGACGGATATGTTCAAATTTTGATATTACCACAATCCCGTCCTCTTTTCCTCGAGTGTGACCTACCGAATTAGACTTATCACTGGGTTTGTACATACATCAGCAACACGACGGGTGTCACACGTGGAGCAGAATTTGCTTACCCTTCCGGAGTACCTGAGATCATCCCAGTTTTTGGTGGGCTATGTTGCTCAGTCTTTTGTTTTGGTGTTGTGTTTTGTATACTGTTGTTTGCCTTTTCATAGTTTTCGTTTTAAGCCATGGCATTGTCAGTTTGTTTTAAACTGATGAGTTTGAATATCCCTTTGGTATCTTTCGCTTCTCTTTTAGAGTCTAAGTTGGTTTTTTTATGTTAAATTTATCAATTTTGTGTTGATTTGGAATCTAATGTACATTTAATTAAAAGAAAAATGTCCAAATCAGTTGCTTTAAAATATGTCTAAAAGGAGATGTGGGATAAACAATCAATCAACAAAAAATCTAAACTTTAAATAGATAGTAAAAAAGCAAGTCTCCGTTTCAATGTTGTCATTCTATTAATTTTTTACCTTATTTAATTTACTCACCTTCAAATTCAAATTTCATTAATGGACACATGTCCTAATTAATTCTCATAGATGGTCAGGTGTAAGTATTAGATACAATACAAAGGTAACAAAGAAACAGGCCGGTAACGTAAAATAAATATTGAACAATAACATAAAAATGCAAACCACATCGTATCTCAGCAGATAATGAATTGATCTAAACAATAGTAAACTGAGTAGAATTCACAGTTTATTCAGACTTTGACAGAAAATGAACGAATATATAATATAAAATATGAAAACAACACGTTATTAATTTCATGCGTCCAAAGCGCTTTCCTTGATTTACCTTCATCAGGAACGTTCAAAGCCGAATATTTGAAAGCCGAGGATGCATAAGAACCGAAACAGTTGCAGAGCTATATGACCAAAAAGTACCTAAGAAATAGTCAAATTCATCTAAGGTCAACTTTGCCTGAGGGAGTTGAAACATTTAAGAATGGTTTGTTATAAATCATGTCAGTACCGAACTTCTGACTACTGAGCTTATGATACCCTTGGGGACTGATAGTCCACCAGCAGAGGTATCGACCCAGTGCTGTATAAATTAAAGCAACACGTTATTAATTTCATGCGTCCAAAGCGCTTTTCTAGATTTACCTTCATCAGGAACGTTCAAAGCCGAATATTTGAAAGCCGAGGATGTATAAGAACCGAAACAGTTGCAGAACTATATGACCAAAAAGTATATAAAAATAATATGATACCAGTTGATTAAAAGTAAAGGAGTAGACCCGGTAAGACCCTTTTTTGGCCCCAAAATATAGCATTTTTTTAAATTTGTTGAAATGTAAACTTTTCGCTATTTATTTAAAAGTAGAATACTTTTGTTCCATAAATATGGGCTGTTTTTGACAATACAATGCACATTTGTGCTAATTTTAAGACTGTTTTTGTCTAAAATGGAAGTTGCCGCATTTGTGTTCAGTCTTTATATTCAAATATATGTTGTATTTGATGGTTCTACATAACATATATAAAGGTTAAGACTGAACACGAACGCGGCCACTTACATTTTAGACAATAACCATCTGAAAAGTGACGTTTAATGGCATATTTGATAGATTTTTCATATTTAAGCTTGAATTTGAGCGTCTTTAATGACCAAATCATTTCAAATCCTATTACATAAACTAATTGAATCGACTGAAATAGACACTTACAGTGTTTTAAAATATCAAAAATCTTTCATCAGATGTACTCCGAATTTTAAGCCAAAACTAGCCGTTACCGGACCTTCCACTTTCATCACTTTGTCTTTTATCTTCAATTACAAGCCATTGAAGAAAGAATATTACAAGGCTCGTGTGCTTTTAATCAGTTCTTTTGATTTATTTGGGATAACATATTTTTTTCTTCAACTTTATGTGTATGCCCGAGCGTTTTCGCGTAAACGTAGCTACGCGCATGATTCTCTTTGGTCCATAAATAAAGAAAATGTACAGTGATATTTAAAAAAAAGTTACAATAGTTTACTGTTCTTAACATTTAAATCCATTTGGAATATGCCAATCAAGAGAAAAATCGATATATACCGCTAGATATCCAAACAAAGCGAGAACGGATGCATCAACAAGGGAAGCGTCGTTAAAAATGAATATCCCAAATACTAATAAGCGCAAGCAGTTCTGTATGTGCTTGTCCCAAGTCAGGAGCCCGTAGTTCAGTGGTTATCGTTGGTTCATGTCTGTCATATTTGTTTTTCGTGAACTGTTTATTATAAATTAGGCTGTTAGTTTTTATCAATTGAATTGTTTCATATTTTTCAAGTCGGGGCCTTTTATAGCCGACTATACGGTATATGTTTTTCTCATTGTTGAAGGCGTACGGTTGCCTATAATTGCATGTTTGACAGATCTTACATTACAATCTATCACTTCCAAGCTGCTGATCAAATATATATATAATCTGGTATGTACTATCTTTGAAAACTGTGCCGGAATAATTGTGATCTCTGGCGCCCCGAAAGGTTAAGCACATCATGTTCCAGATGTGGCACCCAAGTCTAGACAAATTGAAATTTAATTCAACCAATTCTCAAGACGATATGACAAAAGCACTTAATCTAAGGTGGGGTTCCTGTAGTTCAGTGGTTGTCGTTGGTTCATGTCTGTCATATTTGTTTTTCGTTAATTATTTGTTATGAATTAGACTGTTAGTTTTCTCAATTGAATTGTTTCATATTTTTTATGTCGAAGCCTTTTATAGCCGACTACTTTTTAGTATACGGTATGGGTTTTTCTCATTATTGAAGGCGTACGGTTGCCTATAATTGCTTACATCCACTTTATTTGAACTTTGGTGGATAGTTGTCTCATTGGCAATCATACCTCATCAATGAAGCATTGACCATAACAAAAAAATGATTTAACCTGTAAAAAGTACATCTCCTTA